ACTCAGCCATGAAAGTAAGTTGTGAAGCATTCGGACATGTCCGTCTAGGTAGAGAAACTCCCCCTTCAGCTTTCCATTAGTGTCTCAGGCATAGGGTACATGCTCAATAACTATCTGTAGAATGAATAAAAACTTGAAAAAAATCAAAGAATGAAAGAAACTGGGAGAATGAAAAAGGCTTGGACATGTGTCTTGATTGGCAGGCATTGCTGGTACTGGAAGGGTCAACGACTCAAATGCCTTCACTCCTAGCTTGCCTTACAGACCTCGCTAAGACAGAAAAGAAAAGGGGCATCTGGTCTATTTTTAAAAAATTTTTTTAAGTTCATCTCTTTATTTTGAGAGAGAGAGCAAGCGAGCAAGCAAGGGAGGGGCAGAGAGAGAGGGAGAATCCCAAGCGGGCTCCATGCTCTGGGTGCAGAGCCTGATGCGGGACTCAAGCTCACGAAACTATGAGATCATGACCTGAGCTGAAATCAAGAGCTGGACGCTTAACCGAATGAGCCGCCCAGGAGGCCCTGTTTTTATTCAATTACTGCTCCAAACCGTCCAAGGGGCCCAGGGCCAGCCAAGGCCACGGGCACGGCTGCAGTGTGGCCTTGTCACCCGTGGCTCACGTGGCCCCACTAGCTTGTGTTTGGGCCGCTTGTCCCACCGCTGCACGTTACAAAAGTACGGTCCCATTTGGGAGGTTCCCATATTGCGGTGGCCTCAGGATGTCCACTCTGACTCCCAGGAGTTCCCTCATGAATCACTCGGTCATTTACATTCTTGTATCAAAAGACACAACTTTGAACATTGGGCCAAAGAGTCAGCTTCCTCGATTCTCATTCCAAAGCCTATATACTGTCTCCCAGGGCTCTGCTCCTCCGCCTCATCTTTTAACGCCCCTAGCACGTCCCTGTCAGTGGCCACAGAGACCTGACCAGCTGTTCCCCTTGGCATCGCTGAGCCGTGAAGCTCAGCTCCCCCGGGGACCCAACTCTGGCCCACGCCGGCTGGGACTCCAGGAAGATTCCCTCTTCCACTAAAAGCAGAGGTGCCTTCTCGCAGCTCGAATCTTCAGGCCACCCACCCCCTCCTTTCCAGGCCAGCAGCCCCAAGGCCCCGCGCTGCTTCAGAGGAAGCCCCGGGAATCGTCAGGAAGGGATGGCAAACACAGAACAAGGGCTCCCACTGTCCACTGCCATGTCCGGGGTAGACATCACTAACCTACCGAGATGTCATTTCTCCCTGATACTGGAGAAAGCCTTGGAGCCCTTTCTGGTCTAGAACCCCACACGGGCACCAGCCATCTGTCATCTGTCTACAAACCCCATTACGGACAAAGTATTCTCTGAATTTGCATCCACATATTATGACCCAGTTCTGTGATGGGAACCAAGCTACACAAAAATGATTGCCGGAAAGTCATCTTTCAGGAAGTTCTTGAGTGCACAGGAGGGTGCCAGCTAAGCTAGGGGTGAGATAAAGGCCCACAGACCCTTCCTTGAAGCTGCTCATTGTCCCTGGGGAGGCAGGACACATGTACACACCAAGTGGCCGTCAGGGGCTGGTCAGAGAGGCTCTCGGGGGAGCCCTCACTGTGGACAGCCTGGAAGAGGAGGCAGAGCCGGTGGGGGTTACATTAGCAGCAGCAGCAAGTGCTGGTCCCTAGGCCGAGTCTGGGCAGGGAGGAGAATCACCCGCAATCCTAAGAATGGGCGCATGGTCCTCAAAGCTGGGGGCGGGCCTGGACAGCCGCTGGGGAAGAGCACCCAGGCCCAGAGCATCACCTGTCCTCCCTGGGCAGGGGTGGGGGTGGGGTGCGACGCTTGCTGGCGGGGAAGCGGGAGGGAGCGCAGGGCACAGGCTGCTGGAGGTACCACTGTGCTGTAGTCGGAGAACGAAGGGGCCCCAGGAGACGGTACTGAGACCAAAGGGAAACTCACAAATGGTTTCCAGCAAGAAACAGTGTGGCATCAGGGGCTTGGGAAATGCCAGGGAGGGGAGGTGTGCTGTTGAAAGACAACTAGCATAGGTTCAAGAGGAACGGAAAGGCTAATGATAGTGAGGGGGAGCCCTGGAACCCCAGCTCAGGAAGACCAAGGACACCCTACTTTCAGCAGAGGGGGCCGCCAGCCTGAGAGCCTCATTCCCACTGTTTCTCCCGCATTAAAAACACCGTTTCCACACTCAGGTTCATTTCCTACCTCCCGGTTCTAAGACGTTCCCAGCATGAATGCTAACCTAGAGCCAAAGAGCAAGTGTTCCTGGTGTGCATGACTCATAGGAAAAAGTGTCTCTTGGGCTATTAAAAGAGTGGGGGGTGGTTCGTAAAACATTTGCGCTCCAACCAAATTATATAGAAACTAAGCAAAGTACATATCATCCTGGCACTGAATACCGCTTTCCCCAAATAGTGAGACAGGAAAAATGGGCTCTTGAGTTTAACATGGTGCACAGATGTTCCGGAAAAGGATTAAATGCTTCAGAACAATGCAAAGTGGAACTTGGCTTAAACAGGTCAAGCCACCGAGGAGCGTGTGGAAGATGTGTTTATCTGCTAAACTCAGGTGTACAAATAAAACGGAGCCTCATGGTTGCCTTGAACACACCTTAGGGTGCCTGGGAGCCCCATTCCCACTGAGGTGGGGAGCCGAGGCATAAACCTGACAATGAAAGTAATGCCATCAGTTACTTCCTCCAGGCAGACCTCCTGTGGACCACCCGGGGACTGTCTTCAGCTACAGGGCACCGCACTCCACAGCCAGCTTGCATGATGTGAACATACATACAAAGTTGTTGTTTTTTTTAAATTTTTTAAATGTTTTTAGTTCTGAGAGAGAGAGAGAGAGCGTGAGCGTGAGCAGGGGAGGGTCAGAGAGAGAGGGAGACAAAATCGGAAACAGGCTCCAGGCTAGCTGTCAGCACAGAGCCCGACACGGGGCTCAAACCCATGACCTGTGAGATCATGACCTGAGTCAAAGTCGGACGCTTAACCAACTGAGCCACTCAGGTACCTCTACATACAAAGTTTTTTTTTTTTTTTTTTTTTTTACAAATAGTTTATTGTCAAATTAGTTTCTACATAACACTCAGTGCTCATCCCCAAAGTGCCCTCCTTCATGCCCATCTCCCCCTCCCCCCCACATCCATCAGTCCTCAGTTTTTGTCAGCATTCAAGAGTCTCTCATGGTTTGCCTCTCTCCCTTTCCCCCACCATTTCCGCCCTTCTTCTCCCCCTTGGTCCTCCGTCAAGTTCCTCCTAATCCTCCTATACGTGCAAACATATGGTATTTGTCCTTCTCTGCCTGACTTATTTCGCTCAGCATAACACCCTCAAGGTCCATCCATGTTGCTACACATGGCCAGATTTCATTGTTTCTCATTGCCATGTAGTATTCCATGGTATAGATAAACCACATCTTCTTGATCCATTCGTCTGTTGATGGACACTTAGGCTCTTTCCATGTTTTAGCTATTGTGGAGAGTGCTGCTTCTACATACAAAGTTTTAAGTGAAGCTACCAGAGGCCTGACAAGGAGCCTGTAAACGACCACCCTGCCCCCCACCCCTCGCCCCTGCTCCGAGGCTGCCGTTGCTGCCTTTGCTAATGGGGACACTCTTGATTGAACAGGCAGAAAACACTCACAGCCGAGGTCAGCACAGGGAGGGGAAGATGCACACCAATTCCCCTGCTCACAACGACACTGAACCTAGAGGCAGCCTCGGGATCTTTCTGAACACAGTGCCCAGGGACCTATTACTGAACCAGCTAAGTGGACACAAGAGAGGAATCCAATCGGACATTCTAAGAATGGGCAGCAAAGTGTGTTGGAATTTCTACAGGCCCGAGTGCTAGTTAGGCCCCGTCTCTTATAGCTTGTATGGTGATCTCTGACAATACAGTTCATTTCCACCTCAGTTTACTCATCTGCAAAATGGGAATAATAAAACAAGCCCTGGAGTCTTATACAGATGAAATGAGACTACAGATAGAAAGTTCTGTCGTCGGGGCACCTGAGTGGCTCAGTCAGTTAAGCGTTTGACTTTGGCTCAGGTCATGATCTCGCGATTCGTGGGTTCAAGCCCTGCACTGAGCTCTGTGCTGACAGCTCGGAGCCTGGAGCCTGCTTTGAATCGATTCTGTGTCTCCCTCTTTCTCTGCCCCTTCTCTGCTCGTGCTCTGTCTGTCTGTCAGTCTCTCTCACACAAAAATAAATAAATATTTAAAAAAGAAAGTGCTAATCAGAATTAGTAAGCATAATTAAATGCTGCCCATTAAACTATAATTATTTATTACTGAAAATTTGAGTTACATAATTATTAGAATTTATGAATTTAGAGAATATAAGAAACTGAGTTAATTCTATGAAACTTTTGTACATTCAAATGCTTTTCATTTGTTCAGAAAATTCAGAATTTTATATGCTATTATGAAATATAAGTGAGGATAATCTGGTCTAATTTAGGTACCTTTTTTTAAAAGTTTATTCATAGAAAGAGAGAGAAAAAGGGCAAGTGGAGAAGGGGCAGGGAGAGAGGGAGTGAGAGAGAATCCTAAACAGGCCCCACACTGTCAGCGCAGAGCTCAATGCAGGGCTCAAACCCAAAACCCACGAGATCATGACCTGAGTGGAAATCAAGAGTCAGCCCCTTAACTAACGGAACCACCCACGCGCCCCTAGGTACATTTAAGATATGATGTTTTTAAGGTCAGTGTGGTTTGGTGATACATTTTTCTAAATGAAGGAAGTCCCTTGTATATCATGTCTTTCACTGGACAGAGCATGTTCAGAAGCACATGATTATCTCCTATTATAACATGTACATGTTATTCACGTTTTCAAATAATCCAGAGATATCTCATAATCTTAGGCCCCGTAAAGAAATTTGCATTCTGTGTACTGTAGATGGTGCTATGAAAAATCCTATCACTGATGCTTTTCCTCCATGGTATTAGGAGCACAGAAACCCAGCGCATGCGTGTTTCATCAATCGACACGACATTACGTTACCTGGTAAAAAATGCCAGCACTGTTTCCTGTGCAGGAACCAACTGAACTTGGGGGTTCAATTGCAAGAAGACCCACAAAAGTAGTGTTTTCAGAAGATGAAACTCATTAAAAGTGAACAACCTGGCCAAAACAAGAGAAGAAATTTCAGGAATAGAAAAGTCTCACACAATTTGTAAGAAAACAGAAGGTTAAAAGTGAGTTAAGGTCGGAGACAATACCACCCCTGGGTCTGTCGGTCCCTTCAGACCGAGAGCTATCAAGTGACTTTCTCAGGGTCACTGGAACGGTGAGTGGCAGAGCTGGGATGGGACCCTCAGCAGCCTGACACCCACTGCTGTGCTGCCAAAGTCACACCCAGCATTTAATGAGCCCTTACCACAGACAGGTGTGCATGACATGTTTTCGGATGTTCCTTCATTTAATTCCATGCAGCAATCCTGCGCAGTTGCGAAATATCCCTTACTTTTATAGATCTATAAATTCAGACTGGCCCTATGTTTAAAAACTTTAATATTTTGTTCATTGTGGGGTTTTTTTTTGTGGGGGGGAGGGGCAGAGGGAAAGGGAGAGAGAGAATCTCAAGCAGGCTGCGTGCCCAGCATGGAGGCCAACTCGAGGATCCATCCCACAGGCCGTGCGACCATAACCTGAGCTGAAATCAACAGTCGGACGCTTAACCGACAGAGCCACCCAGGCGCCTCATTCATTCATTGGGGTTTTTTGCATTAATATTGATTTTAAAGTATCGCACCACCAATATACTTTATCTGAAGACTGAGGTTTTTTGGTGTTCTCTTCAATTTTGCACCTGAGGTTAGTGCCTCACTCATCCCAGCCCTGATGGAGGGCTAAATAGCTTATCCAAGGTCACAGGGTTCTGGGGTCAGACCCAGTGTGGGTCTGTTCAGCGCCCTGCAGCTGCTACGCCCTCATTTGCAGACAGTGGTGACAGCCGGAGTGACACGCGGAGTTTCCTGCCACTGTGGTAACAAAGCACCATGAACCAAGTGGCTTAAAACAGCACACATTTGTTATCTTACAGTTATGGAGGTCAGAAGAACAAAAATGGATCTCACTGAGCTACGATCAAGGGGTGGACCACATTCTTTCTGGAGGCTCTATGGAAAATCATTTCTTTGCTTTTTCCAGCTTCCAAAGGCCACTCACTGTGGCCTGTGGCCCTTTCCTCCGTCCTCAGGCCAACCGCAAAGTGCCTTCCAATCACTCTCCTCTGATTCTGATTCCCCTGCCTCCCTGTTCCATGTGGAAGGAATATTGTGATTATACTGAGCCCACCTGGGTAATCCAGACCACCCTCCCCAGCTCAAGGTCATCCATCCGCAATGTTTTTCCCCTTGCAGCCTCACATAGTCACAGGCTCTGGGGGTTGGGATGCCGACAGCATCGAGCTGACCACACATGCACAGATAGCTCAGCGCAGCACCTGGCACATAGGAGCGTGCTAGTGAGCGGCCGCTGTGACTCATAAGTGATGGGGCTGGGTCCTCGCTGCAGAACCCACACTTTGCCTGCAGTGGCATGAGACTTCTTAACAAGAAACAAGTGGTGAGAAGGACCGAGTGTCACTACCATGTCAGCTCTGTAAAGTAAGGATGTTTCCCAAAGAGCTTCTCTAAAAGCCTCCAACCACTCGATTATCTAGGAAGCCATTTCAGTGTTTCTTAACCCCCTTGATGTTTCCCATCTTGACCACTGGGATGGCGTGATGGCTTCGAAACCTGTCAGCCTCTGCACCCACCACTTTGAGTGGTCTTGGTGGGTGGGACCCAAGCCACGTAGTGACTCTAAAGGGCAGTGGAAATGTCACCCACTCACCTCTGACACTATTTCTGACCACAGTAGAATGTCTCTTTGCTCTTACTTGTTTTTCAGGTCATCTACAGATGCATGGACTTTGACTCTGGCCAGACAGGACCAAATTTGTCACTGTCTGACCCATGATGGTGAGGCGGGGAGGGGGGGGGATGTCATAGAGCCATGTGGTATGATGTGTCCACATAGAACTCCACAAGAACAGCAATCACCTCTGGGCTGGGGAGCTACGTGACTCCTGGTGCAGAATCCAAGCCTGAGGTTCCTAAGCCCCGAAGGCTTTTTGGGTTGTCACCAAAGAGAAACAGGCAACAACACAAAAGGAGTAATCGGGGCTCCATGAATCAGGGTTTTGGTTTTACTTTTCTTATGAAGGGTACTTGTTGAAATAAAGCCTTCTGTCTTTAGGCCAAGCACCAGTACCCTAAAGTATTGGCTCCTTCTGAGAACACTCAGACGTATTTTCATTTACATAAGAGCCCTGACAGCCTCAACCAAAACAGAACTCACGGAGTTCCTAAACTTCCCTCCAACCTAAGGGAACATCTAGGCTGTTCTACCCGTGTTTACTGGTGTTCACTGGTAGCCACTGGGAGGTAACTGAAGAGAAAAATGCTTCTAACAAGGCACTGTTTGTCATTTTTTGGAGAAAACTGTATGTAATACAGGCCCCCCCTTTGAATATTGAGTATAGAGAACGCCGTATCAACGTAAACAAGAAACCACGAACAAGGGTACCCACGGTAGCATTGATTGCCACAACAAAAAATGAAGCAAATCAAAACAAAAGGCCATTATTAAGGGAATGAGAAACTGCTATCTATTCATTCTATGGAACCCTGTACAACACCTAATTTAAGATGCTAATCAGATACATAAGTATCCACATGGAGAGAACACATCACATTATGTTAGTGAGTAAAGTAAGCTGCAGAGCACTACAGTCACTATGAGAACATTTATTTGAAGTTTAAGCCTTTGCAAAACAATATTACACGTTATTTATGGACACACATATATGTGGTAAGAATATAATCACATGGATAAGTTCATGCGAGCCCACGACGATGGTCTGATGGTCCTTAGCGGGGGAGAGAGGTAGAGAGGATGGAAGCGTAAGGCTGGGGAGGGGGCATAGATGAGTCCTGCTTTATCAGTAATGTTTTCTTTCTTATGACAAAATGTCACTGTTCATTTTGGGAAGTGGGTGCCATTGTGTTTTCTATTATCTTCCTGCATTTAAAGAATTTTCTACAATGAAAAATATACCCATCAATCCTTATTGATGTTGATTATCAATAAGGGGAAATGAGTCCTCATGCAGAGCACAGCAGTGGGCCAGGTTGGTAATGACTTGGGGTTTCGAAGCCTCCAAACCTGCATCCAAATCCCAATTCTCAGGCTGCACAGAAGGAGCTTGGGCCAATCTTTTCATTTCCCGTAATCTCTATCCCACAGGTGAAAAAGCAGGTAACAGTGCCCACCTCACTGGGTGGCTATAGAATTTAGGCTGATAACCCATGCAGAGTGCTCTGTATACAACAAGTGCTCAAAAGTTGGTAGGTATCATTGTGATTAGCCAGAGAAGCATCAGCTTCAAGAACTATTACATTTTTTTTAATGTTTTATTTTATTTTTTTGAGAGACAGAGTGACAGAGTGGGAGTGACGAAGGGGCAGAGAGAGAGAGGGAGACATAGAACCTGAAGCAGGCTCCAGGCTCTGAGCTGACAGCACAGAGTCCAATGTGGGGCTTGAACCCATGAACCGTGAGATCATGACCTGAGCCGAAGTCAGATACTTAACTGACTGAGCCGCCCAGGTGCCCCGGGAACTATTATGTCTGAGAGCCATGCCCCGTGGCGTTCCAGATGCTGGCGGGAAAGCTGTTGGACAGGCCTGCCATGGAGGACTGAGGTGGCTTTCCTTGGGAATCCCTGAGCCCTCAAGACTTGTGGTGTCATCGACAGGACGCCAGGGAGAAGTATCCACCCCCCTCCCAGTTGCAAGGGCTATAGGGCGGCCTTCTGCGCTGATAGGAACCAGACAGCTCGCCAAGTTTTCCATGTTCCTAAGTCTACAAGGAGCTTGGCTTCCAGAAAACTCGGGATGAAGTTTTCATAATATTAGAGTTAGTGGAACAGGGTAACCTGGTGGAGACCTCTAAAGAGAAAAATAAAGTGAAAACCCAAGGTCCAGGCAAAGAAATGAAAACCAGAGGCCCTGGAGGTAAGGAACACTGTGTGTATTTTGTGCAAGGTCATTTATAAAATGGGGAGCAAAACCAAAGCTAGCTGAGGTCAAAGGGACTTCAGAAAGGGATGGTGAACAGCCCAGAAGTGGAAGCACCTGCTGAGATGAATGTTTTTCCTGTGATGCTTAGAGACCCAAACACCTGGGGATGGGCCACCATGTACCTTTATGGGCCCCCGGGGATGCACCATCCCCGACCTCAAGGGTTGGCGTTGCTACACAGCCGCTCTGGGGTCATGTGACTTGCCAGATGCCCCAGATCTGGTGGAAGGTCCCTGGGAAGCCTGGTCTCCATGACGAATGAAAAGATGGGGTAGCATGGAGGGTGGGAGCCTGGACCTTGGAGCCTGAGTCCCAGGTTGGAGCCCAGCTGTGCCTTTTATTGTCCCTCTTATCTTAGGGGCGATAACTACCTATCGCACAGGGTTGTGGCGGCTGAAAGGGACAGTGCACAGAACACAGCACATACCCCAATGTGCTTGATAACAGTGAACTCATCCAAAGGTTTGTTCCTAATTAGCTGCGGTCTAAGGTGCCATATCCACCAGCCAACAAGTGCGCCCAGATGAGGAACCGGAGACTGGGTAAATTTCTAACAATCCCACCGGGCACAGGTGTGGCCAGGCCCTCCCTTCCAGCACCCTCTGCTCCCCCACCTCCCTCCAGCTTTAAAGCAGGCGGCCACTGGACATCAATAGGGCGGGCAAGGAGAATATGGCTCGGGGAACATGAGTCTGGGAGCTGTTAGCCTGGCCCTCCATGGGCCCAGGACATGCTCGAGGCCACGCAGGGTCTCCCCTCCAGCTGCCGGGGTGGCTCTGGGCTTGTGTAGACAGCTCCCGGGGAGGGGCCGGAGGAGCAGGACCCAGTTCCCAGCTCCGTCATGTCTCCCCAAGCTTGTGAGTCTAGACGCGTGACATGGAAGGTGCTTGACCTCTTTTCCTCCCTAGGGGACATTTTGTAAGGCCCGTTCCATCACCAAGCTTCTGGCTGTGGTCAGACAGCTTTTCCCTTTCTTGTTTAAATGCTAGCAGGGTGCGACAGCTCAGTCTTTCCAAGGGAGGGACAGTGTTGCAAAAAGTCTAAGGGATGCCTTGTTTATCTTTTCCTCCACGGTTGTGTAACCTCTCCTCTGCTGGAGGGCAGGGAAAAGCATCAGGGAGTAGGGCAGAAAGACACCAGGAGCACCCCCCAAACCCCCCACCCAGGGCCCTGGAGGTGTTTCTGGGCTGGGGTTCCTGAGGTCTTCCTGATAATATGGTCTCCTGATAATATGGTAGAACAGAGTTCTACCAACTGCATTTCTCTGTAAGGGAAAGCCACTCACTAAATTCAAACCAATAGTGGAATGAATCTTTCTAGATCTAATTTCTGATATCAGATGCTTTCCACCACATGAGCACAAGTGAACACTCAATTTCTAATATATGGCCAAAATGTTGAGTAGAATTTACTTCTCGCTTCTAAAATCTACCCAAAGGGAATACAATCTTGGGAATTTGGCAGTGGGTATCAAGAACCTTTTAAAGAGTCTCAGAGAGTCATGGTGAGTAAATGCAATATGTGCTCCTAAACCAGATCCTACATCGGAGGAAGAAATGTAATAAGGGACAGCACTGGGCTAATCATGGTAAGGTAATAACATCAAGGCTAAATTCCCTGAAGTTGATAACTGCATTTTGATTACATTAAAAAGTTCTTTTTTATTAGGAAATAAATACTGAAGCATTCAGGAGAGAGGGTACGTGATGTGTGCAACTTGCTTTTGCAGAGGGTTCAGGAAAAAATACGTGGGTACATAGTTACACACACAGATGCTGATGATCAAACAAACAGCAGAAACTGAACAAAATGGGGCAAAGGGTATAGAAATATTCTTTGTACTATTCCCACAATTTTTATTTGTTGGAAATTATTTTCAAATAGAATATTTTTTAAAATACTTTCTACCTGTGACAAAACCAGAAAGTCCTGTTGACTTAATAATGTCACTTCTAGAAATTTCATGTGGGAAAATTATCTGGGATGAAGAGAGATGTACATTGAAGGAGGTCATCAAGGTGCTATTTTTATATTGGTAAAACACTGGAAGTGATCTAAAAGAATAACCTCAAGAATTGGGGACGTTTCCATGAATTACTTGAAGGACAAGAAGGAGCCAGGCACTTCGGGTTGGAGGGGAGCACACTAGTGGGAGCCAAGGAGCTCAGCAGGGCTGGGGTCTAAGGTAGCCCCGTGGGTGCCTCCTGGCTGGTGAGATGGTGGGAGAAGGTGGGCATGCCAAAGGCTCTTTGGCTAGAGATGCTCTTGGAGGGGGTCAAGAGCTGACACAAGACCTTGAGTGAGAGGTCCCTGCAGTGGTCCAAACAACAGATGATGGAGATTGGCCACTGGCTGGTGCCTGTGGAGAGAAGCCCTTAGCGGTGGGCTGGGTCTGGGAATGTTACCGGTGCATTCGGGGGTGAGGGCCACGTCCAGAAGGATCCCCAAGATTCCAGCTTGATCAGCTGCTAGAGGAACACAGGGTGGGGCCCCAAGAGTTGGGTTTTAGTTTGAGTGTCAGCTCAGATAGTCAGGTGTCTGGGTCAGATCTGTTCCGGAGAGGGCTCTGAGCTAAAGGTAGGAATCGATTTAGGACGAGAAGTTTTATTTTCTGTTTTCTGCTTTTCCCTATTCTCCATTTTCCACAGTGGATGTATATTAATGTTGTCAGGATCTTTTAAAATTATGTAGGCAATTACTGAATTAATTACCATGTGGGTCATAGGACAAGGGGCACCCGATGAAGGAGCGTGAAGGGAACCTGTCCCCACCCCCACTCACACTATCTTCCCTCCCCCATCACCCCCCGCTGTTCAGGATGGTGGGAAGTTTGGGATGGAGGATGTGCTGGACAGCCGGCATGGCCAGCAGGGGTGTGGGTGCACCTCACTGGAACACACCGGCCCCAGGACCACCCCCCCCACCCCCCACAGCACCCCTGGGGACCCCTCTGACCTGGGGGACCGCAGCACTCTGTGGAGCAGGTCCTGTGGGATTTTCCGGAGGTGGATCTGTGTCCCTAACAGAGGGACCAAGTTCATTTCCAGCCACTTCTCACAGGCAGTGGTGAGCTGCTCTTCCTTGTACTGAGAAGGCAAGGAAAGCCAATAGATAAAGAGATTCCCGAACTCTTAGCGCCCTCTGCTGGGCTATGACGATGCTACAAGCGTGCACTCTGGCGGGTCGTGCTGCACACATGCTCAAACCCTTTCTTCAAAACACATAAACGGCAGCAGATAACGTATTTAGAGTGTTTGCTATGCTCAGGGCCCTACAGTAGGTTGATTCAAATTAATCCTTACCACAATCCTTTATGGTTGGTTTATTATCCCTATTTTACTGATGGAGAAACTGAGGCACCAAGACTGCTGTTCTTGCCAGCAGTCATACACGCTAGTGAGTGGCAGACGGGGAGCAAAACGTGGTGGTCTGACCACAGGGCTTGCACGCTGAGATCTCTGGGCTAAAGTCAGCCACGGATCACGGAAGGGCCTGCAGGGTGTACCCAGATGGAGTTCTGAGGCTGGTAGGGGGCACGTATGCTAACATCAAAGTCCAAAGGAAGTGGGAACGTTCTCCCGGATCCAGGGGCCTTGGCGGGATCTTAGTCCATCTTGTGTGTTCTCGGGGCTACGGTCCTTCCCAGGCCAAGAGTGGCCGGAAAATGTTGACCAGAATGCAAAGACACTGCCCACAGAGGGACTTCCTGGTTACTGATGGACAGTGGGGGACATGGCATTGTCTTTAACAAAATAGGCACTTTGCACAGTTTTAGCTGCCGTTATAAGGCACTGGGGCAAGCTGACTGTGAGTGAAGCAGATGCTACGGTCAGATGTGCGTTTCACGGGGTGAGTGTCCACCCAGGGCAATGGTGACCTCACAGGGGAAGGCGGGGATCAGATGGCCTGGGGCCATCCGGGCAGAGCCCAGCACTGCCACCCAGAAGCTGTCACCCTGATTAGGCTGGATCAGATGGTGTTCCCCTCTGATAATGAGACTGTAAGATTACACCATTTATTCCCAATAATGGTAGTGACTAGCTCCAGGGTGGGGGATGTGGAGGTGGGACACAATTTCACTTGACTCCAAAGAGAATATCCTGGAAGATGTCTGCTATTTTGGTGAGAAAGGCTGCGCTCTTATTTTTCCCCTTTAGTTTTTAACTTTTTAAAAAATTTATTATTATTATTTAATTTTTGGCTTTAAAATGCCGTTTTATTTAACTTTTTAAACTATTTATTTATTTATTTATTTACATTTTGAGAGAATGAGCAAGGGGCAGAGAGAGAGAGAGAGTCACACAATGGGCAGAGAATGGGAGAGAGAATTCAGAGCCTGAAGCAGGGCTCCAGCTCACCTGAAGTCAGGCTTGAACTCACATACCATGAGATCACGACCTGAGCCAAAGTCGGATGCTTAACTAACTGAGCCACCCAGGCGCCCCCTAAAATGTCCTTTTAAAATAAAAGGATTTTTAGTAGTTGTTGGGAGCTGGGCGTGGTGGGTAAAATCCCGGAGGCCGGGGTCCTCCTCAAGGTCCCCAGGTGCCTCGTGCTCTGTCCAGTTCTCACCTTGCAGCCGGCCAGGTAAAAGCTCTTAATGGTGCTTGGCGTGAGTCCCTTCGTCATTATGTCCACACACCTGCAGAGAGAGAAATGCTGTTCTTGGGGGTCCCTAGGAACCTTCCCCTTTCAGAGAGGGGGCAGCCCCGGAGGTTTTGATTCAGCCCCAGGACGGTGGTGGGAGCCCCCTGTCCTGCTGGCCACCAGGCACGGTGTTCTTTAGGCGTTGGCTCTTGAGCGGAATTAGCCGTGTTTGCGGCTGGGGCACAGAAATTAGTGATCCAAGAAGTGACAGCCTCACTCGTGCTCCCCCTTTCTCACTGTCAGACTCATTGGCCAGGCTGGACTGGGATGGCCAGGCTTCCCCAGACCAGGGGGCACGAAGCAAGCCTGAAACGTGCCCACACACGCGGGCATGTAAGAGCCGCGAGCATGGCTGGGCCGGCGCACCTATGTGATGCACGAAACCACGGAACGACACCAGACAGAACCTGCATGCGTACGCCGCATCCCCCGAAGATGGATGGCCCCTGCTGCATGTGACTCAGACCTGAGCAGCCGTCTGGGTGATTCTGCACTCGGCTGGGAGCTCAGCCAAGATGACCTTTGGGATCTTGTCCAGCACCTGGATTTGTGATGCTATCAGAGTGACCCATGACATTTCTGTCCCACTATACAAACACACCCACACCCACCCATGTACCACGCACACACACTCACACACACATACACACATACACTGAGCTTGCGATACCGCACCCCTGCCCGCCGTACCATCTGCTTCTCGAAGGCAGGTGACAGCCAGCCCGGCTGTGTGCCGGGCCCACCAGGATCTGACCTGTAAGACCCGGCCGTAGCTATCTGGAGAATCTTGAGCAAGGTCTACATGCCCCAGTGCAATGACGGGTCTGGCTCACTATCCCCAAAGCCCTTGCTGCTCTGACCTTTAAACTAAGCTGGGGTGGAGGAAGGGAAATGAAGAGCCTGTTGTTCTTAGCTCAGCCCCAAATGGCTAGGGCTAAGGTCCCAAGGGTAAGATGGAGCTTCGAGGCTAGGCTTGCGATAGGGCAGCCAAGGCTGACAGACGCTGTCCGTCCGAGAGGGAGGCTGGCCTTCCAGCTTTCGGACCAGAGATAGCAGAGCACCAGGAAAGAGCTGCTCGGAAGCGTCCTAAGGAAGCTGGGATTTAGCAGTTATTACGAAGGCTGTATGGAGCTGACGATGGGTGGCGTAGACAATACAGGGGGATGGGAAATGTCAGCAAAACCCAGACAATCAGTCATTGACTGCAGTCTAGGCCGGATTCCTTAGCCCCAGACACTGCACAATCCGGCTCCACCTATACCTGCTGGTCTCTCCCACCTCCCTCAGGTCAGGCCATGCCGACACGCTGGAGCGCTTTTCCAAGACTCTGATCCTCTCGATGTGCCCTCAGTTGTCACATCCAGGTCTCTGGGAGCCTGTCCCTCAGTTCACAGGGCATCTGCATCCCTGATAAGGCTTCTTGGTGCTTCTGATCGAGCGTCTGGCCTGAGTCATTTCAGGTGCCCCAGGAATGAGACGCTGGCTCAAAAATGTCTTTGGGGTTGAATCTGGCTGTGTGGCCCCTACGAAAAGGGAATTGCCACCTGCGAGATCCTTGGGAGAGATCCTGGCCTTGCCCTCTGCAGAGCAGCTGACGTCCTCTCTTGACCTGGGTGGGTAGTTCATTCATTCATTCATCCATTCATTTCCTCAAAAAGAGATACTGAGGTGTAGAGTGGAGCAAGGTTGGTGGACCGTCCCTGCCCCAAATCCCCTCTCTACATTGAATCACGGCAGGTATTGGGAAACCAAAGAGCTGTAAGAAATCACCCCAGTGTTTGGGACGTGACTGCAGGAGGTTCACATCCCTGCAAAAGCCCAAGGGAAGGGAGAAAATAGTCTAGAAAAGTGAGTCTCATCAATGATTTTCCATTCGGCTCACTTACCCTTTCCTAACTGCTACTGGAATGGAACAGTATTACGGGACGCAGAGAAAGGGGAGTTGGAAGAACTGTTCTCGTTAATCACAGGGACCCGTTTACTTGAAATTAATCATGCTTTACACAAAACGTTCCATTTAGGAATCCCCATCCTTCAATCCACTTTACTCATTTCCTGTGTCCTGGAGACCGTAGGGCAGGAAGCTCTCGAGGGCGGGGCCCCTGCCCTCTGGTCCCCTGCATCCTGGGGCGCCCAAGGCATCCTTCTTAAAGGAACAGATGAGTGATTGAGGTGAGGGGGTAAACTGGCCCCAAGCAAACCTCACCTCACCAAACGCCACTGAAGGTTAGTGAGCCCTGAATGAGCCAGCACCACCACCACCTCACCCAAGAAAAGCAGAAAAAGACAGCGTTAGGGCTGCAGGTTCTGGGACCCCTCTACCTCCTGCAAGTTCTGGCTGTTCTACTGTGGCCTTGAGCAAGTTACTCACCTCGTGAGGCCTCAGTTTTCTTGTCTGTGAAGTGGACATCATAATACACCACCTCCCCGCAGGAGGATAAAGTGAGGTCACCCTCGCCAAGAGCTGAGAACAGTGTCTGGTCCCGGCAAAGGCCCCACCTTAAAGCCCTTCTTGCCAACATCCCCTCACCCAGAACAAAGTCCTGTGAAGGAGTCAGGATGAAAGTCATGAGCCCCATTTCACAACTGAGACCGCTGAGGCACAGGGAAGCCACAGAGCGGCTAAGAGCAGGGCTCGGCACAGACCTGCTGCTCCCGTCCTAGGCTGTGCGGGGCTTTGCCGAAAAAGTCTAATGAGAACTGGGAGCCTTTGAATCTCAGCCTCCGAGGCGGCATTGCACCCTTCTGCTTCCAGCACCCACATGTTCTCTCGCTGCCCATGAACCCAGGCGCCCCTTGGCAGGATGAGCGAGCTTTCATATTCGATGTCCATCCACTGTGATCACCTCCTTTTCCCCCGGCTCGGCCCCCCTGACAGGCAGCCCAGGGGTCAGTGGGCTCTGAATACCCAGGAGAAAGGCTGTGTCCCCAGTGGGCAGCTGGTGGACAATTGACTTTGATCTTTGCATTTTTCCCTCTTCTGAAAGATCTACAGGGACCGTGTGTAACATTTCTAAGAATAAAAATATTACAGGGGCGCCTTGGTGGCTCAGTCAGTTAAGCGTCTGACTTTGGCTCAGGTCATGATCTCATGGCTTGTGATTTCAAGCTCTGTGTCGGGCTCTGTGCTGACAGCTGACAGCCTGCTTCCGATTCTGTGTCTCCCTCTCTCTCTCTCTCTCTCTCTTTGCCCCTCCCCCACTCAAACTCTGCCTCTTTCTCTCAAAAATAAACATTAAAAATTTTTTAAAAATGTATTAATGCAAAGAAAAACAAGTGGGAAAAACAAGTCCTGACAGTGAAAAGTCATCTTGTCTTCAAACGACCAGCTGATTGTACATGTTCACTAAATGAGAGGCTTTTTAGCCAAATGAACACAGGTAGAACTGGTAAGCAAGCAGGGTTTGCACGCCACTGGGAAGTCACTGTGCACACCGGTAGAGTAGCTCCCAGGCACAGACACCCCCATTTGCCTTGTATGCCTGTGAGGCAAGAAGGACTGGCCAGAAGCAGTATGTTGCTGGAGCGGTGGCTCGACTGTGGGCCTGTGACGTGTGAATCAGTGCCCAGTTCCTCTGTGGACTCGCAGCTGTACTCTGTGCAAAGAAACCCGGCTGTCCTAGCCCACGGGCAAGGACCATTCCGTGAATGGGCCAGGAGGGCCCCCTCTATCTTGCCCAGGGCTGGGCCTGGCCCAGGACTTGCTACATTTCCTTACCTTTGAAACAGGCTGCTGAACTGGAGGATATGAGCCGAGGCGAGCACGCCCATCACATCGTCTATGTTTATCTCCACCTCCCTCAGGTAGAGGTTCTTCAGGGCCATGGCGAAGGCTGGGGAGGCAGCATCCAAGAGAGAAAGCCGTCAGCCTGGGGCTCTGGACCCTGCGTCCCGTCCCTCCCTTGCAGATGCCCTCCTGGCTGGATGTTCGAGGGTGCCTGGCTGGGTGGGCAGAGATGCCCTTAGAGGAAATGCACCTGATTCTGACCTGAGCGCAGATACAGCCCGGGCTTCCAGCCTCCACCGAGGAGATGAAGCCAAAGCAAAGTGAGCTCCTGCTGAAAGAATGCTTTCTAAACCCCTCCTGGGGTCTGTGCCTCAGGGGTTCTCTGCTAACCTGGGCTCCATGGCCTTTGCGGGGAGGCGCCTGCCCAAATATGTACAGAATGCTGTGTGCATGTGCTATTTTCTCAGGAAAATCTTGTCCTCTGAATCTGGGGTCTTCCAAAAAGTTAAGGATGCCTGGCAAGAGCCCGGATAATTTCATATCTAAGAACTAAAGCTCAGGGGACCAGGGAGCAGAGGGACTTGGCTGATTCCAAATTCTCCCTGATCCCAACTAGTGCTGCAGTGCAAGCCAAGGCACTCTGAGGACAACTGGTCTACCCAGGGCTTCTGCGGGAGGCTTCCCCACCTGCACGCTCACAGACCGAGACAGCATGTGAGAGCACACACGCTTCATTAAGACAGAGGTCCGTTTCCAGGTGGCCAGGGTGCGGGGGGGGGGGGGGGGGGGGGGGGGGGGGGGCGGGGGAGAGGGTGAGCTCCCTGCTGCTGGCAGCCAGCCGGTGACGGGCCGTGGTGGGAAGGGGCGCACAAAGTGCTCCCCGAGGGAAGGCGGACCTGAGCCTCCCTGTCTCTGCTCAGCTATTTTTAATAATGGAGTACTGAACACGGGGTGCCACTTATCTGCTGTTCTGTTGTTTGCTTTTAAAGCTGGGAGGGCCGTTTGCTCAATGGTATTCTTAGCATAAGGAGACAGGGGTACATTACCAACTTTAGTGACTATGGGGTCATTGATCTTCAAGAAAATGAACATCTTCTTTATGGGTGGTCTTGCCTTGATCTTCCCAGACCGCTGAGCTGGTAAAGGACAAAGAATAGGGATGTAGGGACCTGACAGCTGCAGTAAATTGCTCTGGGTACAGCGTGAGTTCCCATGGCCCTTCTACAGCCTTGATCCTGGCATTTACCACACCAGGTTCTGTTTGTGTTTGCTTGTTTAGAAGATGCAGTTTTAAAAAAAATTTTTTTAAATGTTTTATTTATTTCTGAGAGAGGGAGAGACAGCGTGAGCAGGGGAGGGTCAGAGAGAGAGGGAGACACAGAATCTGAAACAGGCTCTAGGCTCTGAGCTAGCTGTCAGCACAGAGCCCGATGCTGGGCTCGAACCCACTAGTCATGAGATCATGACCTGAGCCGAAGTCAGACGCTTCACTGAGTGAGCCACCCAGGTATCCCTAGAAGATGCAGTTTTGAAGTGATTATTTATTTAGAAATGGTTGAAGATGCATAAGAAGCTGGAAAGCTAGATCAGAGTTCCCGTGCACGCCTCCCCTACCTTTCCCCCTAATCCTACACAGCCACTATGATGGTCAAAACCGGGAAACTGATGCTCTCACTGCACAAGTTATTTGGTAATAGCTCCTCCCCCACTCGCTCTCCCTCCCTGCCTCCTCCCTTTCTCTCTTTAGTCTGTGAGCACTTTGAGGGCAAGGGGTGGGCCTCTGTCATCTCTGCACCAGAGCACCCAGCCCAGAGCTGGCACAAGACGAGACCATAATGACCTCCTGCTAAAGAGCGAGCATGGGAAGCAGGCATCCACCTAGTGGCTGTTGAAACTTTGCCCTTCAGATGTCCAGAGGACCCCTGCCACCCAAGGCTTCCAGGAGGCAGGGAAGGAGCAGCCTGATTCACTGCAAGCCTCCCCCAACCACTCAGACTTATTCTAACATGTAAGTTACAATACACTGGGCTTTCAGGTCCCCAGCGGTGTCCCATGCCCTGGGTGCAAAGCTAAAGCCCTTCCAGTGGCCCCAAGGCCACTAGTCTCTGGCTCACTGGACCCCAAACCTGCCTCTCTGTGGCTTGTTCCACAGAAGAGTCGTGGGGCTCCATCTGTTCCCCACCAGGGACCCACCTGACCCTGTATGTAAGGTAGCACCCCACCTCCACCTTCCCCCAAACTGGCTTTACTTTTCCTCCTAGACTCGCTAGTACTACCACCTGCGATGACGTCATATGTATGCTGGTTTTCACCCATGTGGCAGGCACACCGAATGGCTTATTCACCACTCCATCCCTAGGAGCTGACACGGTATTGCCCACACTGGTCTCCAGTGAATGTCGGCTGGATGAATGGAATGAGTGGATTCCATCCCCAGAATCCCAAGCCTCGTGAGTTCAAGGTTGTAGATATGAAAAATGACATGAGTCAGGATCCAAAAAAGGAGGTCACCCCGCACAACTACAAAGACAGCAGAGAGAAAGGGAGAATAAAGATCCATTTTCCTCAGGCAGGCGAGGCCCCTCACCATGCTCATGGCACCTGGCTCTGCTCAGACTCTCATTTGGCAAATACTTATTGAGCTTGTTCTCTGCTCTGAATCATTTCTCTCTAGGATTTCGGCACCGCCTCTGGCCTGCACACTGCATTCTGTCCATCCCTGCTGGGGGCACCCACTGGGCTGGCGTGTGTGAGTGCCAGGCACCAGCGAGGCACTCCGGAGGTGATAGATCGTGTCATCATGGGCCATGCTACTTATCGTGGTTTATCATCATCTTGGGTTGGCTTGTCCGTCCCCCAGCCCCCTGACACAGAGTTCCTAGCACAATGCTTAGGAGAAGTCAAGCACTCGACATTTGTAGAAGGAAGAGACGAGTATCATCGGCTAGGTCAGAGTAAGTGGAAGACAAAAACTCCAACATTCCCTCTGTTTTATGTAGAACCTCAACATCGAATAGGAAAATAATAGTTTGATCATGTGCTTCTGAGGTTCTCTGAGACTAAGGGGGTTCCTTTTCAGTAAAAGAGCACTGTTTCTTCTTTGTGGTTCTTCCTAAAGAATTAGCATGTCCTGCCAGCGAATCCTGGGCTCTGGGTGGCACAAAAATGGGCAGCTGGGGGTGCATGGGTTAAGCGTACAACTCTTGATTTTGGCTCAGGCCATGATCTCGTGCTTTGTGAGATTGAGCCCCACATCAGGCTCTTGCACTCACATGCTCTCTCTCACTCTCTCTCAAATGTTTTAAAAAGTGAGCAGCTGGGACAGCCCAGTGTGGCCAGGACACAGGTGCTCATGGGGCCCGCCCCTCCACAGAGCCCACTTCTCCAGGACCACAGTGTGGGCATTCTCAGGAACACGAAGCAGGAGGTAGGAGACTAGCCAAACTGGACTGTGAGATATGTTCTGCTTTCCCAGGTGTACAAAGGCCAGTAGCTGTGTCCCCTGAATGTCATATGGACATGGTCCCCAGGGCCTAGTGCAAGTGCTGGTCCCTGGGGAGAGACCCCGGAACGTTGTGACAGCCTGGGCAGTGGGCGTTTATCTCTGCCCCTACCCTGACGCCCCCCAGTCGGGCCCAGCCTCTAGCAGGCAGCTTCTCTTAGTAGGGCCCAGTCTTTCCAGTGAGGCCATTCTAGACATGCCAAAGACCCCAGCATTAATAGTAATTCCATTTTCTTTTCCAATTCTATTGCTTTTCTTTCTTTCTTTTTTTTTTTTTTAAAGTTTATTTATTTTGAGAGAGAGCATTAGCAGGGGAGGAACAGACAGACACAGAGAGAGAATCCCAAGCAGGCTCCACATTGTCAGAGCAGAGCCCCACGCAGGATTTGAACTCACAAACCGTGAGATCATGACCTGAGTGGAAGTCGGATGCTTAACCGATGGAGCCACCCAGGCGCCCACATTCTCTTGCTTTTCAACGCACTCATGTCTGGAGCTCCATCGTCTTTCCCTGGGTGCCTCATGCGTGTTCTGACTGGGGAGCAGGGGACACTCAGTCCTACTCAGTCTCACTCTCAAAGTCATGGAGACAGACACTTGGGAAGAGCAAAGAAGACTGAGAGGGAGCATCAGCGGGCCGGGGGAACACGGCAGCCCGCTCTCAGCTCCCAGCGCTGCGGGGAAGGGCTGAGTCAGAGGCCTCGTGGCCGGGCCCTCTCTCTGGGCTCGGGGTGGGGCAGCACCTGGGGGCTCAGCCAGCCTGTCTGGCTCTAGAATAACAGAACTTTGCCGCCACATCCTGGAAATGCAGTCCTGTCCTGACTGGCATGCTGGCTGCCTTTGGAGACCTTGAATTTTCCATGGTCCCTACTTATGAGTCGTCCTGAAGCGGTGCCAATCTATATCGCCCAAAGAAGGCGGTGCATCTGGAGAAGAACTTAGGGGATACAGAAGGGGAGCCTGGAGATTATTAGGTTTGAAAAGGAGAAACAGGAAGAAAGAAATGGCCTAAATACTTTATGGAATGACGTGAAGTTAAGAAAAGAGAAAGCAAAGGAAACATAGCATCGACATATAACACGTAAACCTCTAACCAGTATATTGGGCCAAATGTCACAACTCTACCTTCCTTCCAGAAAGCTCATCAGGAGACTCAACACCACTGTTTGCTCTTCTCAAAGAAGCAGGTAGAGTTTCCACCTCGACTGGACAGGACTGGGTTGTTATGAGAAAAATAACTGACATTCACTGAGTATCCGGGTATATGCCAGGGATTGTTCTAGAACTGCACAAGCATTACCTTCTTCTCTAGGCTTCAAAGGAGCATAGTGAGAACTATTATTCCCATTTTATAGCCAGAGGCGGAGGTAAAATCCTGTGATGAGGTCATACCATGGGCCTTGTTCTTATCTGCCAGTGACCTTGGTCTCCAAAGAGATGAGGGCATTTGGGGCTCAGTGCTGGGAATCTACCTCGCAGAAGATTCTCCAGTTCCTTTGTGGGGCTCTTGGTGCCCTGGGCCAGCGCCATCAGGTAGAGCTTGCTTAAGGTCTCAGACTGGAAAAGCTGGGGCTGATGGAGTTCCCATTTGGAGCCTAGACATTCGAGAATCACGTCTGAGGAGAGAACACAGTGTTGAGTAAATGCCACCACACGTCCCTGAGGCACGTGTCAATCACCCCACCTTCCATTCAGTCACAGTCACTGAGCAGATGGGTGGCTGCTTTGCTGGGCCTTCCAGGAAAAAAGCAAAAAGACAGGGTGGGTCTCAGGGCACTTACTGGCTCCCAGGGGAGACAATAAGCAAAATTACAAGGTGACATAGAAAGAGATAAGCATCTAAGAGCAGCTGATCAACATCTGTAGGACTCCAGAGGGACATAAGCTTTCCTCCATTTGAGGAATTGGGAAGGCTTCATGGGGAAGGGAAACTGGCGGGGACATTCTTGGGGGCCTCACCATGCCTTCTGATTACAGCGGGCAATGATCATATTTGGGGCCAGATAATTCTCTGTTGGGGCGGGGGGGGGTCGGGGCTGCCTGGTTCCTTGAAGGTTATTTAACGTCCCTGGTTTCTACCCACTGGGGGCCGGTAGCACCCTCCCCCCCCAAGTTGTGACAACCCAAAATGTCTCCAGACATTGGCAAATATCCCTTAGGAAGTGATCTCACTACCCAGTCCCCTGTCGAAGCTACTGGGCGTTGGTGCTTAATTCTCACCCACCTGAAAGGTGACAGCAAAGTGCAGCTCAAAGGCCCAGTGCCAGGAGGCGGAATTCTCATGAGCCTCCCTTGGAATGGAGACCACCAGAAAAAACAGGTGTGGAACAAGATTATAACGTAAAGGAGGCTTTTTGCAAACCGTAAGGGGGTTTATGCGAGGGGCTTTATCTCATGCTTGGATAGCATAGGTGATTAAAAAGAGAGAGACTTTGAGGAGGGGGCAGATGGAAGATCCAAGGATCCCGGGCCAGGTGAGGCATGGGAGGCTGTGGACAGGAGGCTCTGCAGGCTGGACTCCTGTTAGCACAGAGCTGGTAGAAGAGGGTGGTGCTTGGTCATCCCAAGAACCCTTACCCTCAGCTCTAGGCAGGACCTGGAGCATCACGAGCCCCTTGGCCTTGCCATTATTTTGACTGCAGGAGCTGGGGCACCTATTTCCTCTTCTGTTATTAACATTGCTACTCACCAACTTTATGATATTGTTTTGTGCTGCGCTTTGGAATGTGGACTTGCATCTCAAATCTTGGGTCACCTCAGGAAATGGTCTAGTTGTGCTCAGCTAGAAAGAATCCTACCCCATGTAGGGTGATTTTAGGCAGGAGCAGACCTGTGGATAAAGCGTGTGCCCTCACCGGACACCCACTTTTGCTTTCATGATGACACACGTGTGTGGCAGGCATCACACCTGATCCCAGAACTCTCCTCCCTGAGCCAGGAGCTGGCCCCAGACTGCTTCTCAGGACCTCTAGTCAACCAGAACCAAGGGGCGAGAAGAAATCGGCTGGCCTGCCCTGGGGAAGGCGGCTGGCTCTGACCTCATGCAGCTTTACTGTGCGGTGGACCTTATCTTAAAAAAAAAAGTTTCCTTTAAGGACCTGACCTGTCCAGGCCTGGTGAGGCTCAATGAGCCTTTTCCCAGCTGGACAGAGCTGGCCTGGTTCTTGATTCTACATCGGAAAAAGTCATCTTGGACACGTACAAAAGTGACATCCAAGTCATGACTGGTTGGCGCTAAAAGGGACAGAGAAGAGCTGCCTGTCCTTGACGGAGTTTCTGTTTAGTCTACGAATCCACAGCCTATTTATTTACATCGGCATGGGCATGTCGGTCTATCGACTGTGACCAATTAGCATACGAAACTGTGTTTGCAGAGCCTGATTTCATGCATCATTTCACGGTGCATCTGACAAATATTTACAGAGCCTATTTCATGTTAGACAACGTGCAAAGGGCAGAAACCGAAACGTACAGGCCAGGAGCCTGTCCTATGAGCGGGCTTCGTTCCGTAGAAACCACCCCTGACCCTGAGTGCAGCCACGTTCTGATGGAATCCACTGGCGACATGAACTCACCGGCCTCCCTGCTCTGGATAGTCTTGTTCTTCGAGGTCTTAGAGAAAAGTTTCTGAATTTGTGAAACACATAGCCTCAAGGGAAAACACAAACAGAAGATTCTGGAGTTAATACTGACAGGTTTCTCCAGGGGCAACAAGTATCATTCTAGTGTCCCTAAAACTTCCATTCACCTATCTTATATCTTGCCCCTTGAGCATTTCCGTAGGTCATGACTCATCTGCCGGTTTGATAAACTATAAGCTTGTTTCGATGGCTGGCTCCAAATTTCGATTCCTGTTTTCAGTTTGTGGGGAAGTTTTACCACGAAGGTATTTGAGGTTATATATGGTTGCCCAAATGATTCCTCCTTTGGTGAGTGTCTAAAGTAAGGTCTAGTAGCATAGAGTAGGTACTCAGTAAATATCTGCTAGAGAAAGGGAGAGAGGGTTCTGGGCGTTTCTGGTAAGTGACTCACCAATACTTCTGTTTAGGGGTCATGCCTGCCCCAGTCTCAATGTGTCCAAAAACTAAACTTGGATTTTACCCCAAACCAGCCCTGCTCCTTCTCCAGCAAATGGCACCGCCAGCCTCCAGCTGTCCCAGCCAGCCTACTGCACGTTGTCCCACCTGATCGCTTGCCTAGATCTGACAGAGATCTTGTGAATTCACCACTCTCCCTTTCCCCTTATTGCTGTGAGCTTCGTCCATGCCGTGATTATCGCCCTGCAGTCACTGGGGAGCTCCCCTTGGGTGTGCATCTGATGCTGCAGCCTGAGAACCAGGTGAAACGTACATCTGCTCTTGCCTCTCTCCTACTGAGAATCCTTCAGTGTCTCCCCAGTGCTCTCAGGGAAAGCCCACACCCCTCAGTATGGCTCGACCCTCTACACTCCCTGGTCCAGCCCTTCTCAGCAGCCTGAACCCACCATCACTGGCTTCCATGCTCTTGGATGCCCACACTGTTCGCCAGAGTACTCTCCTCCTCATCTCCTCACTTGAGCTCCTACTCATCCTCCTATATAAGCTTAGTTTTTGCTTCCTCTAGGGAGACTGAGTAAGTGGCCCTTCCACTGACCACCCTGGAATTGCCCCCATCAGAACTCCTTCTACAGTGTCTTGTGGTCGTCTCTTTATTCACGTGCCCTCGGCTCTGCTCTCTACAAAGATAGATTTGGCATTTCTGTGCTGCTGGAAGCCTAGCCTGGCCATCATGCAAGTGCTCAATAAATATCCATTCAGTGATTGATGACAAAGATGGGATATCTTTTCATGAACCCTAGTCATCCCGTCAAGCAAGGACATGAAACAAAGTTTGAGTCACATATTCACAGCTTGAAGACAGTCATCCCAAGAAACCCAACCAAAGGACACTTGATGACCACATATGAGGAGTGTCACTTTTCCCAGGCTGTTTTCCAATGGTTCCAAGAACCCTCATGGGCCAGGGTTCATGGAGGGGGCTTGGGTGGGGGCTCCTGTGTCCAGAATAATATTGACCACATGTGGCCCTTTCTGTGTGGGGAAGGTGGCTACTGGTGGGTGACTCAGCCCCAGGACGGCAGTGAGAGCTTGAGGTATTTATCCATCAAGAGTAGTGGACCTGACCCAAACCAGCCTCAATCCTTCGGTGGCTTTGGTCACACGTCTGGGAAGAGCTGGTCAAGGTCAGAGGTTCAGACTGTGATCTCAAAATGGAGCAATGAACTTTGGAAACTGTGGGCAATGCCCATGAGCTCAACTAACCTCACAAACATCACTGTTGTCGGCTGAGCCAGACGACAGAAGTCACCACAATGCCTTTGCCTGTTGACGTGGGTACTTGCCAGGATATGCCAGTTATCATGTGGGCTCCACGGATTCCAAGGGCCAGGGTGATTTGAGGACCGTTGGAAAGTTAGTGGAATAAATGGTATCTGTGAGTTGTCCTCTTTACTCTTTGGAACTAGACAGCCTGGGATGAAGCAGCATGTGGGAATACTAGAGCTGTGCCGTTAGGCTGGGGACTCAGCTCCCTGGGTCGTGACCCATGATGGAGAAACAAGAGGGGAAAGGGAGGCATTCTCTATGTATCATATGGACATAAGGACTCCCTGCAGCAAACCATTCAAAGGGCTTTCGGCTTAATACTTGCAAAACTCCAATTTGATTTCCTGCCCCTTGACTTTGAGCTTGGCCACGTGTCTTGCCTTGATGTTAGTGGACGTGATGTGGCTGAAGGTCTGGAAAGCACTCGTGCACCCGAGATTGCCTCCTGTCCTCTGTTGTCACCAGCACAAGAATGTGCCTGGGTAAGTCCATTGTCTCCAAAGGAGGTCAAGAGGCTCATGGCCAAGGGCTCAACCGCCCATCTGAGCTGAGCCTGGATCAGCTGACCGCCAGGCACATGAGTGATCAGCCTTCCCAGAGTGCCTGCTTGCCCCAGCTGGTCTCTGGACCCAGCTTCCTAGCATCACCAAGGAGAGAGGCCCACTGGGTGGCTTGTGTGTTGTAGTGAGGGTGCCTTGCTTTGGAGGAGATGGTAACAAGCAGAATGAAAAGTGTGGTTGTTGGCTGGCAGAGCACAGGCCCGACACACCCCAAAATGACATCACCAGTACCAGTAACTAAAACGGTTGTTGGGACTACAAAGATAAAACTCCATTTGTAGATCATCTACTATTTGCTAGAACAGTATGAGGCATTTTCAGTGTACTGCCTGATTTAATACTCAAGATACCCTCTCAAGAAAGACGCGGTTATCACCATTTCCCAGAGGAGGAAATAGGCTCAGAGAGGTTAAGCCACTGGCCGAAGGTCACAGAGCTAGGACACGGAGGAGAAGGGATTCTAACCCTGTCTGCTGGGTGGATTTTCATAGCCCTAAAACCCAGCAGCCACTGCCGTCACCCTCAGGTTTCTGTGCCCGGCCTCTCGGGCCACCACCTGCAGCTCAGCTCAGCGATCACACAGACCAGGTCCTGGAGATTTCTGCTCCCGCTGCCCAGCCGCCCTCATCAGTCTTCTGGATCAATTTGCTTATGTCCCCAGGCCCAGCTCCCCAGCCTGCCTCCCCAGCCCAGCCCTCCACCGAGGAACACACGCACTTTTAACCCGAACATGTCTTCAAGGCCCTATCCAAACGAAATGTAAAATAAATACAAAATAAATTTGAGACAGTTTAAGGCTAATGCCGAACACAGCAACACCCAGCACTCAATTCTTTCAAGCTGGGGTCATCCGAGAAGTCAGGCACCAAACACAGATGGATTGGATTTACCCAAATGTGCGTAATGTACGGTCACCTGTGAGGGGGTGGGGTCCTGGAGCAGGGCTGGCCGGTGGGTCTAGAAAGGAGGATTTGGCTACTCGCTCATTGAACTTGGGGCAAACAGCTGTTCTGTGCTGAGTGCTGCCCAGGGGAACAAGCCAAGCTCAGGTGGATTCGACTGTGTGCTCATTAGGCAGATACTGTCCTTCCCAGGGAGGGTAGTGGCATTAAGTTATGTCCAAAGTGTCAGGGAAGTGATGTATTCCCTCTGAAGGAGGGTCCAGCTCCGTGTCCCAGGTACAGCCAGAAAGAACTGGTCACATGGAGTAGTAACGCTCTGAGCCTGCTGTCAGAGCACCTTGGGAACGAGGGAGGAGCCACCTTCTCACACATGGGGAGCCAAGACCGGGTGGAAACGCATATTTGTGACATAGGTCAGACCCTCAGCCAAGACTACCTAAGTTTTCTTTGTCAACAAGTCAGTTGATAAACACAAGAGAATCCCATTAGGGTCCAAAGTTCCCAACATAAAGGAAAAACCTAGGTTAAAAAAAGGTCAGTCTCTATACTTTCATCCCACCGACGGACCTCCTCTGAGGAAGGAGCCACACTGAGGCTGTCTGTCCCTGAAGGATGGTCCCCACAGCAGCCCAGAGAACCCATGGGCCCAAGTAGAGTGGCCCAACCATGGGCGCTTCTTCAGAAATGCAGTTTCCCTGTAGGGCATTCCTGGCCATGGGCCTGTGATCTCCCTACCTGTCTGGGTTCTTCAGAGCCTTATCAAAGTCCACGTTCAAAGCCTTGCACCTCTGGGAAAGTCCCAGCAGGTCTCCAGAGAAAAGCTTTGTGGGAGAACGCCACCGGTTTGTTGAGCCAACTATCCGGCGTTCCAGCCGAGCTCTGTCCTGCTTTGGGAGGCAAAGGAAGGGAGAGAATCCGTTTTAAAACCTCACCCACGTGCCAGGTTTTCCAAATCGCGCGGCAGGAAGAAAATCAAGACACATGTGAAAACGCTGGTTATTTTTCAGACATGGCCAGGAGCCCTCCCCTCAAGGCAAATATCGTATTCAGGAGACAGAAGAGTTCAAGGCACAAAGTGATTCGGAATTTCGAATCTAGGACAGAAGATGCCAGAGGCCACAGCTCAGGGAGAAAGATGGGTTCTCTGCAGGTAGTTCTGAAGAACCTACAAGCAGGGACAGGATAATGTTTCGAGAAACTTCTTTATATGCGCATCCTCACACGGGATTCTGAGAGATGCCAAGCTGAGGGGATCCCAGGTAGGAAGTGTTTTTTATTGTGGCAAAATACGCAAAGCATAACATTCACCATTTTACAGCATGCACCTTAGTGGCATTTGGTACATTTAGGAAGCCATGCAGCCCTCGCAACTATCCAGTTGAGAACATTTTCGTCCCCCCAAAAGGAAATCTTATACCCATTAAGCCATCACGCCTACTTCCCCTCCCCCAGCTCCTGGCAACCGTTCATCTGCTTTCTGCTTCTGTGGATTTGCTATTCTGAATATTTACATAAATGGAATCATATACTATGCGGGCTTGGCTTCTTTCATGATGTTTTCAGTGTTCATTCTGTTGTAGAAGGTTTCAGACTTTCACTCCCTTCTACGGCTGAATAATATTCCATTGTATGCGGAGACTGCATTGTGTTTATCCATTCATCACTCGATGGACACTTGAGTTGTTTCCACCTTTTGGCGACTGTGAATGAGGCTGTTGTGAACATTTGTGCACAAATGTCTATCTGAACACCTGTTTTCAATTCTTTTGGGTATCTTCTCGGGAATGGACAGCTGGGCCTCTGGGCAGAGCCTTTTACTTAGACATTCTCTTGAGGTCCTAGGGCTTCAGCAGTTTCCTTTATTTTATTTTTAATGTTTATTTATGTTTGAGAGATAGAGAGACAGAGCGTGAACAGGGGAGGGGCAGAGAGAGAGGGAGGCACAGAATCGGAAGCAGGCTCAGGCTGTGAGCTGTCAGCACAGAACCTGATGCGGGGCTTGAACCCATGAACGGTGAGATCATGACCTGAACTGAAGTAGGACGCTCAACCGACTGAGCCACTCAAATGCCCCTTCAGCAGTTTCCTTAAAGGAGCAGAATATTCAGAACGTAAACCTCAGATGTGTTGGCTCAAAGAAACCTCCCCAGGGAAAGTGTACTATGTGGGCCCCGTAGGAATGGGTGCAGGTGTTCCTAGGCCATTGCCAGTCACCAGCAGGGTGGTGGGGAGCCCAGGGGCCATGGGGTGGAGAGTTTAAGGTCCAATCTTGTTAATGCCACTAAGGAGTTGTATGGCCTTAGGCAAGTCATTTCACCTTTGGGGTCTCTGGGTCTTCGTGTGATGATGGTGGTGGTGATGGTGACGGTGATGATGTTAACATGGAAAGATGAAGACTGAGAAGTACGTTTTAGTGCCTGGAAATGGTGGGGGACGGCAAGGTGTGGACCGGGACTTTAGATGCAGTCCTGTGTAGTGTGACACGGGACAAGTGGCCGTCCTAGGCAGTGGGGCTGCTCTGACAGCGGCCGGGGTCAGCCAGTAACGCGGGGGTCCTCGGTGGGGCGCGCCCCATCCCCTGCGGAAACGTGGCAGCACCACCGTGAGCAGGTGCTTCTGCTCCTCACCGCCTGCCCCCTTGTGAAACTCGTCTACTCACCAGATTCAGCATTTTCATGAGCGGTAGTGGCGATTACAATCAGGGGAGGGGGAAGAAACACCTGGAAGATAAAAGCGTTTACATTTTAAAAACTCTCCAGGGGCACCTGGGTGGCTCAGTCGGTTAAGAGTCTGACTTCGGCTCAGGTCATAATCTCATGGTTCATGGGTTCAAGCCCCACGCTGGGCTCTGTGCTGACAGCTCAGAGCCTGGAGCTGCTTCAGATTCTGTGCCTCCCCCTCTCTCTGCCCCTCCCCTGCTCATACTATCTCTATCTCTCTCTCAAAAACAAATAAGACATTAAAAAAAAAAAAAACCTCTCCAAAGGGTCTTTTCTAAACAGGAGATTAGCCTGAAGATTCTGTATTTTGCCACAAAAATTAATAATGAGTAAATTTGGAGGATGGGTTATTCATCAAATCAAGATAATCTCAGACTTTTTATTTATTTTTTTACACTTATTTATTTTTCAGAGAGAGAGAGAAAGAGGCAGAGCACAAGTGGGGCAGAGAGAGAGGGAGACACAGAATCGGAAGCAGGCTCCAGGCTCTGAGCTGTCAGCATAGAGCCCGAGACGGGGCTCGAGCCCACAAACTGGGAGATCATGACCTGAGTCAAAGTCGAACACAGAACTGACCGAGCCATCCGGGCGCCCCACAGAACCTTGGACTTTTTAAAGCCCATCAGGAGACTGACAAAGTTCTGTAGTGCTGGAATGTGGCTCCGATAAAGCCAAACAGGAGGGAACCCACAGTTCTTCACCCTTTACTAAGGGATAGGAGCCAAAGGCGGCTGGTCACAGAGTTTGCTACGTGGGATGGCCCCTCGGCTTCCAGGCCTCCTGCGTCCCAGCCCGGAGCCCCCAGAGCCCCTCCCTACCAAGTCCGGGCAGTGCCCGTCACTAGAGACACCCTCTTTCTCTAATGGGGATGGAAAGCAATGGCCACACTCACTGCGCCGAAGCCCGCTCGCCGCCACGGGTGTGTTTACAGAAGCCTGTGGAACAGGGGCCTTCTCCTCGCACTGGTCTCTGGATTACAGACTTGCTGCGGGCCGTTCACCTTCTGACTCTGAAGCCTGAGAGCGCTCATGACATCTGGGGCTCACCCTTTTCTTCTTAGCGGCCAAGGTGCTTTGGCGGGAGAACTTGCCCTTGGTTTCCAGGTAGTGGGGACCATGGCAACGTCAGGGAAGGTTCTGAGCACTTCCTGTTCCAGGCCTGGTTCAGCACAGCTGGGGGCCGTGGGGGAGGTGCTCACCCAGGGGCCACGGGAAGGGTGGCAACTCGCAGGCCACGCTCCTCAGGGGACCAGAGCCATCCTTGTTTCCACGTTTCCTACAGCAGCTGGGGGTAATGTGGAGGATCCTGTAAACGGGCCTCGGTGAGAGTCCGCCTCCAAGTCCTCAAACCTCACCTGTCAAAGGAGAAGATTGCGCTGGAAGCTTCTCAGATCCCTCCCAGATTCCGCATTCTGGGGTGATCTATTTTCTAGCTCAGGTGTCCAGAAATATTTTTACAAAAATAATTTAAATAAAAATTGGAGAGTTTGGGGGCACCTGGGTGGGCTCAGTCAGTTGAACGTCTGACTCCTTTCTGACTCAGGTCACGATCTCGCGGTGCGTGGGTTCCAGCCCCAAGTCAGGCTCCATGCTGACCGTATGGAGCCTGCTTGGGATTCTCTCTCCCTCTCTCTGCCCCTCCTCCCCTTGCACACGCACATATTCTCTCTCTCAAAACAAATTTTAAAAATTGGAGAGTTTTACATTATCAAAACTGTGATGATTTGTTGATGATTTTTTTAATGTTTTATTTATTTTTGAGAGAGGGAGAAAAAGGGGCAGAGAGAGAAGGGGACAGAGGATCTGAAGTGGGTTCCATGCTGACAGTAGGGAGCCCAATGCAGGGCTTGAACTCCTTCTCATGAATCGTGAGATCATGACCTGAGCCGAAGTTGGACGCTCAACCAACTGAGCCACCCAGGTGCCCCTCTTGGTAGATGATACTTATTTATTTTTTATTAAAATTTGTTTTAATGTTTATTTATTTTTGATACAGAGAGAGACAGAGCATGAGCAGGGGAGGGGCAGAGAGAGAGGGAGACACAGAATCTGAAACAGGCTCTGAGCTGTCAGCACAGAGCCCGATGCGGGGCTCGAACCCACAAACCATGAGATCACAACCTGAGCCGAAGTTGGACGCTTAACTGACTGAGCCACCCGGGCACCCCTATATGATACTTAATCAGCTCTTTCCAGGAAATAAGAAGTGCCTAAAAGTCAGGGACACGGTCAAGAGCTTTCATTCCAGGGGCCATGGCAGAATCCTGCAGCTCACTCTGACCTTGTCTGCAAAGCCCAGGCCCGAAGCTGGGAGGTTGGGTGATGGGGCGTCATCCATCACGCCCAAGAACCTTGGTCCCTCAAAGCCCTGGACCTCCACCCCAGGGCTCACAGAAATCCCGGCTCCAGTAAGAGCAGCTCAGAGCCAGTGTGGCTCCCAAGGGCCAAGATAGGTTTCCTCCAGGGTCTTTGTGTGCGGACCTTCATGAGTCATGCAAACTATAAAATGAAGCAGGAAAGCAACTGATCTGCCTACTTGTCACAGAGTTCTAGAAGCATATAAAACTCTCCCTTAATAGGAGGCACCTCTAAAGCTCCCTCCCTCCTCACCCTCAGGTCTGTGAGTCTACCTCCCTTGACACCCACATTCTACTCGGAAGAGTAGTCGGTTTCTGTGGCTTCTGTGGGGGGTGTTCTCTGGTGGCCAGCCCACCCTGCATCCCCAAGGACCCAACAACCAAACTCAGCCCGTAGGAAGTGATCAGAAGACATCTCTTGACTTGGTAAATGGATGTACCCGTCCCTACCTACTGTCCTGCTTTTGTGCATGGATGAGCACTGTGCGTGTGTGTGTGTGTGTGTGTACATAGGTGTTCATGTATGCATGCGTGTGTCTGTTTCTGTGTGGGTCACGATCTCATCTCAGCAGATAGCTGTGCACAAATGCACAGATTCCTCCTTTGCTGCTTCCTTCCCTCCACCCCAAACTTTTCTCAGCTCCTTGTCCCTGGAATGTAGGTCTCGTGTAAGGTTTCAGTTAAAGAGTTTGAAATACCTTGTCCTGGCCCATCTGGCCCATCATGGGCCAGTGCAGGAACACCCTCCAGGCACCTCTGCGGCATAGCTGGGAGCTGGCCCTTGGGCGATTTCTAGCGGCCACTCTAGGGAAGTGTCCCAGGGCGCCATACTCCCCAGGGTCCCTAGACAGCACGCTGGCTTTGGTTGTGTCTGTCACTCCCTACAGGGTCTGACCTCAGTGATCCAAGGCTTTCAGCTCACCCTCAAAGCCCTCTGAACATACAACCCCATAGAGCTGTGGCAAGCTGAGCTATTAGCCAAAGTCAAAGACAACTAATACAAATAAATGGAAATGGCTCCTAGCAAGTTTCCCTGAAGGGCTCTTGCTGCTGGTGCCCAGTGTGCTGGGGCATATGCCCCATGGGCCCAGCCAAGCCGGACATCCCAAGAGCAAAGGCCTTTGGTGGCTCAGACATCAAACCCCAAAGAGCACAGCTCTCAGCTAGAACCACCTTGTGCCAAAATCTTGCATGCCCGTTGCAGGGGGATTCCGGTGGGATAGCCATCTTCTCAAACACCCCAGGGATAAGTTTCTCCCTAGCTTCCCAGGGAGCCCATTTCAGCCCACTCCATCCAGTCACCCATGGTGGGGGGAAGTGGAGTACCCAGGAAAGAACATACAATTCCAACCCTGGTTCTGACACTAGCTGTGGTGACCCTGGACATGACCTTAACCCCCCTAAGTGGAAAGTATACCCAGAGGCTTGGGGTCCAGGCAGTTTGGAGTGTCTTGGCCTCAGAGCCTAAAGGCTGGCTCTAAGGAATCTCATTCTAGAAGATTCAGGACCGAGGACACTGTGTATGTGTGCAGTGGGAGGCTCCTGTGAGTGCCCAGATCAGGATTTCCTGGCTCTCCGGGGTGGGGGTGGGGGGGCTGTGCACCAGGGTCCAGGCTGCTGGGGGTGGGGTGCAGCCTGTGGGCCAGGCCTTGGCTGAGGCAGCGCAGGAGCCAGAAGACAGGCAGGGGCTTCCATCAAGAAGCAGAGGGTGGGTCCTGCCCTTGAACGGAGTCCTGTATGGCCGGAGTGGGGTGGTCCCAGTGCTGAGTGAGGGGCCCTGGACTAGGCAGGACCCTGGCCACTGACTTGCTGTGGGACCTCAGGGAAGCCTTCTCTCTGCTCTGGGCTCCAGCTTTCACATCGGCTCAGCAAAGCTGAGACAAAACAACCCCTCGGCTCCCTCCCTGCCCATCCTATTTTTCCCAGACTTCCGGGAGGGTGGGGGTGATGACAAACTGTGCTGGCCTGGAGCTTGCCCCATTCACACACTTAAATAGAGCGTCACGTTTGTGCTGGGGGTTGGGGATGAAAGGGGAGCCAAGTAGAAGATAAGGACCACCTGTGTGCTTTCAAATCCTCACACCACCTGGAATGTTCTTTACTTAGTAATCTTCTCTAAATTTATTTTATCGATGAAATAGCATATAGGTATGCCCATTTATTTCTAATACACATTAAATTAACTACATAACTATTTCAAAGAATTTTTCGTGATCTGCCCCCTAAAACCATCTTTTGTGTGCAAGCGCTTTGCTTTGGGAGGTTTACGTCTGCCCTTATGAAAATACGGTGTGATGGACAAATCAAGGGTCAAGCTTGGTGAGCTTCATGGGAGGGGCAACCAACTACATGAAACTTGGCTTTTTATTCTGATGCTTTGATATCTTGAGGTCCTGCTGACTGAGCCAGGAGGGACTGACCCTCTCAGGGTTAGTCAGTTTCTGGAGACAGTAAAGCACTTGTTTATGAGTGACATTTTCACCTGCAAACCAGCCAGCCCAGAGCCCATATCCCCATCACTCCCTTTACTGGGCTTTCGCACTCAGGGCCACTGTCCACCTACCGGAATCATCCCAGGGCCAGATACTAAACTTGTACAGAGAGAGCCCCAGTGGCCCAGAGCCTCCTGAATGATCCAGACGAGCCGATCGTAAGCCTATTTACCCCCCTCACCTGTTCCTTCCCTTGGGAACCACAGCAAACATTCTTGTCCACAACTTCCCTCTGTTCCCCTCCCTCCTGACCAACCCGGATACCTCGCTCCGTGGTCCGACGTGGCAGGGCCTGCCCTCTCCTCTTGAGAACTGAAGGTAAGAAACTATGTCTTCAGTGCCACTTGTCTTCCGATCTGATGGCTTCATGATGCTTGAACAATTATAAAACCTGCATTTGAAAACACTGACCCAGGCCTGAGGGTTCAGGGAGGGTTCCTTGGAGGATGTGACATCAATAATGGGCCTTCAGGGGGCACCTGGGTGGCTCAGTCAGCTAAGTGTCCAACTTCGGCTCAGGTCATGATCTCGCGGTTTGTGAGTTCGAGCCTCGCGTCAGGTTCTGTGCTGACAGCTTGGAGCCTGGAGTCGGCTTTGGTTTCTGTCTGTCTCCCTCTCTCTGCCCCTCCCCTGCTCATGCTCTGTCTCTCTCAAAAATGAACAAACATTAAAAAAAATAATAATGAGCCTTAAGGGAGTGGGTATTGGCCAGGAGACCAGCTGATGGGCGGGGGTGGGTGTCCCCGGCAGAGGGGTCAGGAGCCTCGGAAGGAATGACATACAGTCTGATTGCACTGTAGGGTGGGAAGGGGGGCGGGGCTTTGTCTAGTCCCACCCCTTTGATCTCCAAGGTGTGTTTCCCAGCTCCAAATAAACCCAAAAGACAGATTTGTGAATTGTCTGTATTCTGCCCTTGCTGTTCCAGCCTAGGTACCTGAGAAGCCCAGGCAGGTGCCACCTGCCTGGGGGGGTGTCATGGGTCCACCGACTGTAGACGGGACCATGTGAAGACCAGGTGGAGCAGAGCCAGCCTAGCGCTGCACACCGGGGAGGTGGGGGGGGAGCCTTGCAGCCATTCCCACCTACTGAACAAAGAGTGGGGATTTCATAGTCCATAAAAACAGTAGCAGAGCCAGCCCAGACCCAAGGCAGGGCCACCAATTGGTCTAATTACAGGATGGATGTGAGCACCACTATCAGCCAGAAGGCACAACCCCTTCCCGGTGCCTTCTCTCCACACTACTTTCCTTTTTATTTTAATAAAATTGTCCTTAATGTTTATTCACTTGTGTGTGTGTGTATGTGTGTGTGTGTGTGTGTGTGTGAGAGAGAGAGAGAGAGAGAGAGAGAATGAGGGGTGGAGGGGCAGAGAGAGGGAGACACCAAATCTGAAGCAGGCTCCAAGCTCTGAGCTGTCAGCACAGAGCCTCACGTGGGACTCGAACCCACATACTGCCAGATCATGACCTGAGCCAAAGTTGGACACTTAACTGACTGAGCCACCCAGGCGCCCCTCTACATACCACTTTCTGACGGACGTCTTATAAAGGAAGCTGTCAGCCTGAGGAATGCAAAGGAACTTGCAGTCATTGGAGGGCTGAGACCCAGTCCTGGCTGGCCCTTCTCCTGGCTGAGCTGCTCAGTCAAATCCCCAGGTTTCTAACCCCTCTGAGCCTCTGTTTCCTCCTTGTAAAAGGGAAATAAAAAATAGCTCCCATTCACCCGATTCTTTCAGGGCGAGGGAGTGCAAGCCCCGAGGGAACCCTGTGGGACCCAGATGTTTCCTCCTGCCAGCCCTTCCCTGCCTGGGCACACACCTCCACCCTGCCTTCATCGGAACACCCACCCCGCTTCGTTCAATGTTTTGAGTGGAACGTCCTGGAAAGTAGAGAGGCTTTGCTAAAAAATGTGAGCATCCTATCAACGCCGACAAGTCAGGGAAAGAAGCAGTTAGAGAACCTGAGCTCCCCCTCGGGCCTGTCACCTTTCACCTGCTCCACGCCAATGCTGATCACCTCTCTCCCTGCCTCCCTGCCTGGAATGGGGGCAGGGTGCTCTGGGCCCCTCAGATCTCACACGTAAGGGGCGGGGCCCCAAACTTGAAAGAAGAAGAACCTCCCCCCACTCTGAAGGCACCCCCATGTCAGTCATCAGTGACCAACTGTCGCCTATTTCCCTCCCCCTTCCCCCTCTCTGTCTTCATGGTTAATCTTAGTACCCCAGGCACATCACCTTTACCTTGAAAGCCCTAAGGAAATGCTGACCCAGAAACAAAAAGAAAATGATGTTCAAAGCTCAGGATTTCAACTGACGTGGCAAACCGAAATTCTACAAGGTGCTGAACATCTCAAAGGTTATAATGTTGGTTGCTGGCGGAGCTGTGGATGGCCAGTCAGGTGCCGGCTTCTCGTGGTCTCGCTGCTCACTCAGCACGGCAAAATAATTTAAGTAGCCTTAGCAGCCGTCACGTGGGCGAAGCTTTGCTAGCATGTGTGCATTATATAAAGTGGGCACAGGACCCAAAGCAGCTGATCTCAACCCATAGGGTTCCCGAGGCCAGCACTCTGCACGGTGGCCCCGTGGGTAGGTCCAGTGAGGCAGCCTAGCACGCAGGTGAGCCTGAGGCCACGGCAGGGCCAGGGCTTCCCAAGCGGGGCCAGGCTGACAGGAGACAGAGTAGCCTAGTAGTAGCTGTATGCCTCAAAGGGTATATACTGAATATGTGTGTGTGTTGGGGGTGTGTGTTGTGGGGCGTATAAAAATTTTTTTTAAGATTTATTTTTAAGAGAGAGAGAGACAGAGAGTGAGGGGGGAGGGTCAGAGAGAGGGAGACCTAGAATCTGAAGCAGGCTCCAGGTTCCGAGCTGTCAGCACAGAGCCTGACATGGGGCTCAAACTCAAGAACCAGGAGATCATGACCTGAGCTGAAGTCGGACGCTTACCCGGCTGAGCCACCCAGGTGCCTCATGGGGGGTATATTTTACTACAACCTCAGTGGAAGCCTATTAGGCAATGGGTTTGCCAAACTTTAAAAATGTGTACGATCTCCAAGACGGAGAAAAACAGCTGGTGATATCTGGGAGCTGGCCTGGTCCTCTGGCACCTTGCTGTGCTCCTGTTGAACACAAACAATCTTGCAGAAAATCAGTGTCAGACTAGCCATCCTGTGACGGGTCACGAGAACACAAGAACCACCCAGAATCTGTCTGAATAGACGTGAACATTCCTCAAACCACAAAAAGCACCAAATATCCTTCCATCCTGGCTAGGACATACGAGCAACTAAGGCAAAGCTTACCAATTACAACTTGGCCTTAGTCTGGCTAAGAGTTGAGATACCCAGCCTGAGAACTGTCTTTGCCCTGAGAGCATCCAATATGGAGCAAAGCCGGGCTTCCTGGGGTCTTCCCCAGAAGCAGCAGACCCAAGTCCAAATCCTATACTAACTGCCTCCCAAGACTCCCTTACTATGGGGCCCTACAGCTCCCCCTGGTGGCTGTCCTCTCTCACTGCAACGAGCCGTAAAGCCAGCGTGGCCTTTGGCGGAGTAGTGAAAACTTTCACCCAGGTTATCCACTTTAAAAATTCAGCCTAAAAAAAAAAATTCAGCCTAAGGAAAAGTCCTGTTCACAAATGTATATGCATAAGGAAACTCAATGCAATGTGTGTGCGTAATGACAGCAAAACCATGGACACGATATAAATGTCCATCAGTGGGCAGCAGCTGGTTACATACATTTTGGCATCATGAAAGACACAGTCATTCAAAATGATGACAAAAAGCTGTATTTATTGATATAAAAGTTTGCATAACATGATGGTTACATTGTAGTATCACATGACAAAAAAAGTTTACAAAACGGTACGCAGGGGTGCTGCAGAACTCCAAACAATCCCGCTTTTATAAAGATAAATTAATAAATATTTCATACACTGAGAAAAAAAGCATAGAAAAATAAATACAAAAACATTAACAGTTATCATTTCTTGGTTTAGGGACCATGTTTTTTTTTTCCTTACCTGCATTTCTAGACTTTTTTAGTAATGGAAATGTTTTGCTTCAATACTAAGAAAAATAGAAACTTTCAAGAGCAAGGGGCTGGGCTGTTCTGAGAACACAGCCGAGATCAGAATCTGGGGTGAGGGTGGAGGAGGGGTTTGGTCTGGACAGGTGAGCATGGGGGCCCCGGGGGGCACGGCTGAGCCGTGAGGAGGGAGGCTGGGGGAGACGGGAGCCAGCAGAGGTGGCTGGGCTGTGGGAAGAGGCAGACCGCTGCCCTGCTGTAGGGTCCTTCCCATCAGGTGGGGTTGAGGTGGGGCTAGAGGCTGGGAGTCTCTTCCAGAGAGGCGGGCTGTGTCTTTCTTTCCTCGTGCTGCCTGGGGTGTCTGTCCTGTGCGGGGTTGAGTGGTCCTATGTGAGGGGAACGGCCCGAGGCCACTGTGTCTGAGCAGGATGAGGGGCACTTGAGCTGAGGGTCACCAGGGCCTCGGGGCCGCTTTCCAAGCTCACTCTGCACACTGCACATCCCACATCTCACTCGGGCCCCCACAACCTGCCTGCGTGGCCTAACACCACAGCTGTGAGGGTGCCCTTGTTCGGAAACAGGGTCTTTGCAGATATAACTGGAATCTTGAGAGATCATCTTGGATTGGGGGTAGGGGGCAGAATCCAATGAGTGGTGTCTTTACAAGAGAGAGGAGACGGAGCTGAGACACAGAGGAGAAAGCTCATGAAGAAAGAGGCGGAGACTGAGTGACACAGCCACCAGCCAAGGGACACCAGGGATTGCCGGCCACTATCCAGAAGCTTCGAGAGACAAGGGACAGGCTGCCTCAGAGCCCCGGAGGGAAAAAACCCCACCGACACTCAGACTTGGGACTTCTGGCCTCCAGAATGGTGAGAGAACACATTTCTATTGTTTTAAGCTGCTACATAATGTGACGTTGCGGCAATTTTAGGAAACTAAGATACCTCCACGCCCTCTCACCGCGCACTTTCAAGCTGGGGTCCCCAAGAAAGTCAGGAGCAGCTAAGGAAGCTAAGGCGGGCACATCCCTATTTCACCTCCAAAGTGGCCTCACTACCTGTGTTCAGCGGGTAACCGCTCGCCAGGGCTGGTCCTTTAGAGGCAGCTGGGTGGCTTTTCAGGGTCGACGGTCACATGCTAAGAGAATGCACAGGAAGAGGGACAGTCTACTACTTCCTTGAGCCAGTAAAGGAAAACAGACTTTCCCGCCCAAACTCAGAGAGCGTGTGTAAAAACAAAAGCCAAGCTAATTCAATACACACACAGAAGCATTTAAAAACTAGCAAGTCGATACCTCTCCTTAGCTTCCATCCTACAAACAGCCACGATAATGAAGGAAATGTTATTTAAATCTATGGACAAAGAAGTGAGCCAGACAGAGACGGGGGAAGGGCCAGATCTGATATGATTTTAACAAAGGCGAGAAAAGACTCAACCCTTCCCAGAAAAGAACTCATAGCCACGCTTATTGCCAAGATCCAAGGAAAAAAATTTATTTACAATAGAGAATTTTATTTGAAACATGCATTTTTTTTTAAAACAAATCAGCAAATGCAGATCAAGTTTACACTCCTTAAGGCAAGAGTCCCTGTGAAAGCTATACAAGTTCATATTAAATCCAAAAGCCGCTCACCCTGGGAACTCATGTACAAAGGGCAAGGCCAAGGTCAGCGATTTGTCTTTTATTAGCGAATCGGACAATCTCCCTGATACAGGAACTCTGAGGTCAACTTGCTATGAATTTATACTAAGAAAATGCAAACCAATAGCAAGAAATTCTGATAGCCTCCTTAGAACTGCATACAATCAAATCAACATTATTTAGAAAGGAAATACAGTAGTGCATACGAAAAAGTGAAGACAGAACCTGCCCACGGTACGGAAGGACAGCAGTGTGCCGACGGTCATATTGCACGCAATGGTCAAGTCCAAACATTTGGTTCAAAGTTAGCTCTTCCCCATTTTGGCAATCAGTTCATCACAAATCTTGGTGAGTTCTTCTATCTCTTTATTCTGAAAGCGAAGACACACACACACACACACACACACACACACACAAAAAGAAAGAAAAAAGAAAAGGTTGCTGAAATCTCCTGGCTGTTTGAAATCACACCCATCAGAATGGTCTTTGGGCTTTCTTGGTGCCCCCTGCAATTCTCTAAAGCGGTAAGAGAAACGAGTCTAAGTACACATCTAAGCTTTAGCTGTGACCTTGAGCAAGTTACACAACCTTTCTGAGCCCTGGCGTCCCTATCTCTAAAATGTGGATGGTAACATTTCTCTGAGAAAGGCAGGAAGTCAGAATGCAAAGCTCCCTAGCATAGTGGGCAGCACGCAGCAGAGCCTTAACTAAATATCGGTTCTCTTTCTTTTATTGGCTTCTGAAGGACTACAGACATGAAAAGATGGTCCAGGGTGAGCTCTCTGGTGGCTTTTTTGAGAAACATCACCAGGAAGGGTAAAGCAATTCTACTTGGATAGGGTCGCTAGCATTTAGAGGAGGCGAAACGAGGGGGTGCTGTGGATACGAGGGGTTGGGGACAGAGGCAGGGGCAGATGCGAGATGGCTTCGGATGGTCTTCCCGCCACCCACGCCCGGCCTGTGCGCTGAAGTGGGGGAAGCCAACCGCACACTCATCTCGCACCCGCGATCTGACAGCACCGTCCGTGCTCTGTGCACCGGGATCCAACGGGACGAGTCCATTCAAAGGTAGGTGTGGCTTTGCTCTGATGCTGACCTGCTTCAGCAGCTAATCTCGAATGGCCCTCTCCAGGGGGGCTAGATCTTTCCAGAATCCCAGGAACATACCGCAGCCACTTTTTTGAGGTCCCCATGGAAGGGGAGCCTCTCCCCTGAGGCTAAACCGAGGCCGTTCTTTGGAAACCTCAGAACGTCCTGAAGCAGGGTCCACGCAGAGCCACATGTCCCTTGTTTCTGGAATGGGTTCCGGGTGCCACCCGCGACTGTCAGTACTTGGGAGGGAAGAGTTGGGCCTCCTCAGTGGAAGAGAAATTCAGTCCTCACTGCAGTTCAGCCACCAGCCCCGGCCGGGAGAGCGCCCCCCGCCCCCGCCCCCGCCCCCGAACTTCACCTTGGCTTTCCCCGTGCTCGAACTCACAGCCCTGAGCGCTCCATTCCGAGAGGGAGTGAGGGAAGATGGGGGCTGTGCAGCAGTGCAGCACGGGCCGCTAACCCTGAGATGACTATTCTTGCCACTGCTGGGGCCGCTCAGGATGACTTTTCATCTTATCAGAGCGCTTCCTGTGGGCCGGACACCGTGCTAAACACACCCGGGCGCCGGCCCCACTCGGTTCCCACAACAGTCCCTTCGTGGGAGCCGCTGTTATTTCCACTTTTCAGTCACGGAACAGAGGCTCAGAGAGGCTAAGCACTGTGCTTAATGGAAGGTCACACAGCCAGTCAGAGGCGGCAAGCCTGTAACACAAATGCAGGCTGGCCTGCCCCCTAGACGGCTTTGCTATCTTACTCATTTAACATAATGTCCGGTGACTGATTGATGGGTGAGAGGCGCTGGTGGACCCACTAGCTCTGGATTCCCGGAGCTTCTCCAAGCTCCATCTTCGCCCAGCAAACAGCTCAGCTCACTGGGCACCAGTCTGTCCAGCACTGACTGGGCAAAATGCCCAGCGCCTTCACTTCAGACCTGCCTGGTGGCGGGGGGTGGGGGTGGGGGAGCGCAGGGGTGGAGGATAATGCTTCTGAATCTTTTTAAAACAGAGAACGTCCTCTCCGGATCACTTAGAGTCCCTTAGGGAAGAACTCACAGGATTAATCCGTGCCTCTTCTGTTTTAGTTTAAGACAAATTATGTTTGCAGATCTGTTTGTATCTTTCCCGTTCTCCCAAATGGTGCACCCCGCCTCGCCTTCTTCCGTGTCTTCCAGTTTGCCAGAATATTCAGCATTACCTTCATCTGGCAATGGAAGAGTCTGAACAGGCTAGGTTACCTAGAAAACCTAATGTTTTAGCTAATGCCACAAGGTGGTCCAAACACCATCAAATCCTGATGCAAACAGGAGCAACCAAACATATCGCTCCATTTTCCACCTAGAAACATTTGATACCCAACTGCCTCAATGACCCAAATGCTGGGGGAATGTGCTCTTTAACTTAAAGGAGTATTCCACTTTTCAAGGGTCACCCAATACGCCACACATGGATTATCAACATTCAAGGAATAAAAATAGACACCCGCCTGGGGCGCCTGGGTGGCTCAGTTGGTGAAGCGTCCGACTTCAGTTCGGGTCATGATCTCGTGGTTTGTGGGTTCGAGCCCTGCGTTGGGCTCTGCGCTGACAGCTCAGAGCCTGGAGCCTGCTTCGGATTCTGTGTCTCCCTCTCTCTCTGCCCCTCCCCTGCTCATGCTCTGTCTTTCAAAAATAAACAAACATAAAAAAAAGAAAAAATCCTAAAAATAAACACCCCCTTAACACTAACAATGCAGTGCCACTCAATAAATATTGACAGAATGAGTAAATGCTGGTCCTGACTCTGTGCTTACTGCTGGGAACAAGGATCAGAGCCTTGAGACAGTTGAACAAATTTGGCATATTTGGCACCATCCAGACTTTTTCCTTCTTTTTAAAAAAAAAAATACAATCCTGTCTCGTGGCCATTTATCATCTTCATGCCCAAAGGAAAAGGTAAAGAACAAAAATGATCTGGGAATGTGAGGTTTCTAGTTGTTGAGTTCTGGTCAGCCAGGGACACGCTGTGGACCCAGCACCGCGTCAGGGAAATTCACTTGACCACTAGAGTCGTGTCATTCTCACGGCTGGAGAGATTCTTCCAGATCTTTGGGTTTCGACCTCTGACACTGGAAACCTACAACCTGAGGTGAAATGTGAGGCTTGCCCAGGGTCATAATGGATGGCAGGTGGCTGGTGCCGTGGTGGGGGAAGGACCTGTGTCTCCTGGGTCCCAGGGCTCTTTCCTTAACATCACTTAGCTGATGTGAGAGGTCGTATGCACCCACTGCTTGGCCTAGACCCACCTTGGGAACACAGCCAGCCCCACGGGAACCTGGCTGGGTATGAACACAGAAGGGGGCCAATCAGAGGCCTGTGGGTGCTTCTGGATTAACAGAGGCCATCTGGGAGACACGCTGGACTTCTAGTGCCATCTGCCCATGCTGGATGTCCCCACCCCAACCATGACCACCTGTTAAGTCCCACATGCATGGGAAGTGATGCCACCCCAGGCCACAGCGGACTCCAAAGGCTCAGTAGACCAACCGCCACGGGTCTGGTCTGGAAACACACTCAGAAGGGGGACCCCTCGGCCCACACTTCTCCAGATTCAGATTCCCACAGCTCTCCTATGCAGAAGGGGTTTCTCATTTGGACACCCGGGAGAGGGTGTGTACAGTGGACTGAGGGCTAGACCGGAAATCAGGACAAGGTAGGGGACCTCAGGAGGGTTCCCCCCATCCGTGGATGTGGGAGGACATCTGAGGGCCCTTTTGACCCCAATGTGGCCCGTTTTCTGCATCAGCCCCTGGTCTCCGGTGGGTACCCGACTCCCTCGCCAGTAAGCGTCTGGATGCGGGGTGAAGTACTATGCCTGGCACACCGCAGATTTAGGAGATGCGTGATGAATGAGTGAATGAATGCCGAAAAGGAGTTAAAACCACAACGAACATCCAAGCAGGTAGCAATTCTAGGAAGAGCAGAAAGGACGGGGGCGGGGGTGGGGGGGGGGCTGGCCTTACACTGGCTCTTCTGGAAGGAGAGCAAGCGTGCGCTCGTGAGGCCTACACCGTCCCGGGGGCAGCAGAGGCCGCAGGGAAGCCCAGGCCCTGCCGAGCCGAGGGTCTGACCGGCCCCGCGGGCCGTCGGCCGTTACCTTCTGCTCCAGCGTCCTCTCCAGAGCGTCCACGCGGAGCTGCTCCTTCCGCAGGCTGGCCTGGTAGGCGGCCTGCTCCTGCTGCGCCTTGCCTCGCACCTGCGCGATCTCGGCGTTGGCCCTGCGGACACAAGGCGGCGGGTGCTCAGAAGGAATCACCCTGGGGAGCCTGGGGGGCTTAGTCGGTTAAGCGTCCGACTTTCGCTTAGGTCATGATCTCGCGGTTCGTGGGTTCGGGCCCTGCGTCGGGCTCTGTGCCGACTGCCAGCTCAGAGCCTGGAGCCTATTTCAGTCTGTGACTCCCTCTCTCTCTGACCCTCCCCTGCTCACGCTGTCTCTCTCTCTCCTAAAAATAAATAAAACATTTAAAAAAAAAATTCAATTTTCCAACAACATTAGAGAGGAATTAAGTAAGTTTCCCGGGTGCTTGGGTTTTTTTTTTCTTTTTTTAAACAATGTCTTCCATCCTCTTAAGAACCTCCCAAACAACCTCCCATGCCTTTGCAGTTGCCCCTCTCCTTGCCACNGAAAGAATCACCCTTCCCGCCATCCTCCTCCCAGCTGCGGACGTGGGAACCTTCTGGCTCCAGGGTCCACCACCCGGGGGCCTGGTTTAGGAGCCCAGGAGCGCCCCCCCATCTCCGGCCCCAACCCCCATTCCCATGAGGCCAAAGCGCTTTGAGTGGGCGCTCTGGAAATGACAACATGCATCCTTCACTTCTCAAAACGCTGAGAGTGCACTGTTATCACAAGCCACACTGAAAAAACACAGACGGATCATCGGCTCTTCCTAAGCCGAGGTCACTGGGGCTCCCAGCCCGCCTTGGCAGGGGTGCCGAGAGGCCGTGGGGTGGACCCGAGGCTGCGCTACCTGTCCAGCTTCTCCTCCGCGTGCACCTTCAGGGCCTGGTACCTCTGCTCTTCCTTCTTCACTCGGGACAGATACTCCTGCGCACATTTCTTCAGCACCTCTTCATTCTGACAGGACAGAGGACAGAGGTCGCACCCACGGAAGAAATGCCCTGGGTGTTGGGAGCCCCAGGAATTCCCCGATGCTGGCGTAAGCCTGGACTGCCAAGCCCAGCTCCCTGTGATCTCTCCCAACCCGTTCCACCTGCTCCCGCCCCACAGGCCCAGCCCCCTGCTCTGCCCCGACACACACACACCTTGCGGAAGCCTTCAAGGACCTCCTTCATCTTCTCGTATCTCCTGAAGAGATCGGCCAGAGACTTCTCCACGGAGTTCAGGTCAGCCAGGGCCTGCTCCTTCTCCAGGACCAGCTGCTGGATGGTCTGGTGGGAGACTGACTTCTCCCTCTGCTCATCCTCTGACAAGAGACACCAAGGACAGACAGTGGGACCGAAGGCTCCCAGCCTGGTCTCAGGGGCCGCCGGGGCCTCAGGTCGCAACTCAGTCTAAGCACTGGGCGCCCCAGACTTGGGACGGACCCGCTTCCCGAGCCCGGCCAGACACTGCCTCTAAAGGAATAAAACGCACAGCCTCAGCACCGCAGGCCTGGGCCTTTGCAGTGTTAGATGGGATGGAAACCAGCCACTGCTCTTTAGCCTGATCACTGCAGACCCCTAAAAATCGACATTCAAGGCCTCGGTGATTCTATGTGGTGCTTGACGGCAAACAGATCCATAAAGTGGGGGAAAAAAAATCACTCCTGAATTTTGTGTTGAGCCAGATAAAAAGGAACAGTAGTCTGGGCTCTGACGAACAGGTCTTTCTACGTATTATCGCCACAAAGACATGGTTATTGCAAAAGAAAAAGGTTTCTTCATCCTTAAAACATCCCAGGAACCAAAGCCCACAAAACCCATCAGCCCGGCAATTCTGCTTCGCACAGAAACGGACATTTCCTTTGATACAGCAAATTTCCTGAACTCCAACAGATTGGAGCTCTTTCTGTCAATGCGAGTTTCCCAGTTATGTACATGAGGATGAATTCTGGCCCAGTTCAGAGCGGCCGAGCCTAGTGAAAGCACCTGCACTATCCTCCGACCCCACCACCAGCTCTACCCCGAACATCTCGCAAATCATCTCATATTTATGGGAATGGCTTTCTCTGACCACTCGACATGAAAGCCTCTTGCCCGCACGGCACCATCTTTCATGTGCCAACACATCATGGGGCTGGGTAGGCGACGAACCATTCGCTGCCATCTGTTTGGACCTCTGGTGACAGCAGACGGCCGGGGGAAGAGAAACCCCCTCTCACAGCTCCTGGGGGAAGGAGCCGTGCTGGCCCGACCTCCCGTCAGCCCCAGGTCACGAGCTGCCCAGGACTGCCCCCACAGGCAGATCGCTCTGGAAATGAGGACACAAGACAGCAGCTAGTGCCCACTGAGGCACTCCACACATCAGGTGCTGTGCTGACTGTGTGATTCACTTAATGCTCCTAAGCCAGCACCCAGGCGCCAGACTAAACTTCCTTAAGTAAAAAACCGGGTCACTCAGCTCCAGCTCGGAGGCCCACAGGGACCCCCTGAACACCGGGAGTAAAATCCAAACTCTGTCCCCTCTGCTCCAGCTGCAGTGGCCGGCACACCCCAGGCGGTCCTGTCCCAGAGCCATGGCCCCAGACACTCCAGGACTCCCCACTCACTCGGGTCCTTCACACAGGCCACCTCCCCAGAGGCGCCTTCCTGAGCACCTGCGGGAAACGCCTTCTCCCTCCTTTCCAGTCCATTCTCTTCCCAGCAGCAGTCAGACGTGCACGCACACGGGTGTACGCCAGCTGTCTGTTGCCTAGAGTGCACGCTGCCCGAGGGCAGGCTCTTGAGTCTTGTTTTATCCACATATTTATCCCAGTGCCTAGCACAGAGCCTGGTTCTCCGGGTGCCTCAACACCTCCACGCTGTGAATGAATGAGTAGAACCTGGCAATCCAAACCTCAAGCCAAGCTCATAACCATCTCTCTCCACCGGCCTGTTAGCAACAGACCTGGAAGGAGGAAGCTCCCTTAAAAGCAGGGGGTGCTGGGATTCAGGAGTGCACTTGTAATGAGCGAAGGTGCTGTGCGCAAGTGTTTGCACACCTGAAGCTAATATTGATTGCACTGTATTTAACTAACTGGAATTTAAGTAAAAACTAAAAAAAAAAAAAAAAAAAAGCAGAAGGGTGCTGCTTCAGGTTTTTTCCCTTAGGTTCCTGACGGATGGGCATCGTCCTATCTCCTGAAGTTAGGCACATTGTGGCCGTGTGCCGTGGAGGAAAGAGCCCAGAACCGGGGCGGGTGCACGCATCCTGGGTTTCAGCTTCAGCTGTGATATAAACGTGCTCAAACATCCCGACTCTCTGGAGCTCAGGGCCTCGTTTCCAAAATGAAGGGTTGTCACACGCGAACATGCGCCTGAATCAGCGGAGGCTTGTTTAAACACAGACGGCGGCACCCCACCCAGGGAGTTCTGATCTGGGAGGTGGGGCCGAGAGTCTGCATCTGTGACAAGTTCCCTGATGATGCTGAGGCGGCCAGTCCAGGGGCCACGCTTGGAGAGCCACAGGCCCGAAGATGTCTGATGTACCTCCACCCCTGCCTCCAGAGACCCCCCAGTTGCCGGGGCAGAGAGGAAGGACCCAGGTGCCAGGCTGTGACTGCCCAGGTTCCGTCCTGGCTCTGACTCTCACCAGACTCTGGCTCTCTCCTTCACCTTGGGCAGGGTTTTTAACCTCTGGGAGTCTCAGCCTTCTGAGCTGAAAGAGGGGCTCATAGTACTTAACTCACGGCATTTGGGGGAAGAATAAATGAAAATGTATATAAAGCCTTTGACTCGTAGGAAGAACCCAGGATCAGTGACTCATCCCCAACAGCATCATGGGCACCCCCAAACTGGCATGATGGCGCATCTATCACTCACGAAGGGGCAGCTTCTAACATACAGCGAGGAAAGAACCGCTAGCAATCTTGCTACACCCAGACTCCTCAAAAAACAGATGCTTCACGGTTTCACCAGTAACCAAACGCTTGTTTTTACTATGTTTAAGCCGCTTCCTTAGCCCTCAGCACACGGTACAATGCACATTCTGGGCGGCTCTGAGGCCACGTATGCATTTCACTCGGCTTGTAAGAAGCCATTTATCAAACAGAATCCATTTGATTTCCTGGATCTGAGACTTAGCTTGCCTCAGGTTTCCTGCCCTCCCCATAAATGCTTGTAAAAATAGAAATTTCCCGGTTCCCAGGAGACGGAGGAGGTGAGAATGCATCACAAATCTTTTTGTAAATTACAAATGCAGTCCGGTTCTTCACGTCAGGAAATCAGCCCCAAACTCAAAAGGCTCTAGACTCGACAACAAAACAATGCCCCTGGAGATTTTTCTGTTGTTGTTGTTTTTTTTTTCCAGGCAAAACATTGTTAAACCATGTTTTTTGGGTGGGTGGGGGGGCAGGGGAATGCGGCAAACACACAAGAGCAAAAGTAACAAAAACAGAAACAAACAAACAAACACAAGTTGCAATGGGCAGGTGTCAAATTAGGTGAAGAAGCATTTACTTACCAGGCTTGCCTGTTTGTTTTGCAAGCAAAGGGCAAGAAGCAACAGAAAATGGAAGCAAAACAGATAATCAGGGCAGTTGTTAGGAAAGCAGAAAAAAAAATCAATTGCAACAACCTGAATGCAGAAAGCACAGAGGTCTCTTTTTGTTCTGAATCCTAAATATTCAGTATCTGAACTCGAGAGTGTATTCTCTCTAGAAACACGGGACGAGAACGGACGATGACGGCAGGACAGATGTCACGCTGGCGTGGAACATTTGCGAGGGGACACGGAAGCCAGAGAGCCGGGCTGCCGCCAGGAGGGGCTAGCGTAGCGGGGGTGAAGTTTTGACTTCAAATGTTCCTTCTGTCCCTACTAATGTTCCTTCTGTCCCGAACTGCCAAGCTCTTGGAGCTTGAGTTTTCCCTCCCACCAGGGACGCAGGTTACATGGATGCAAAGGAGAAGAAGAGAGATGGGAGGCTGGTATGTTTCCTCATACGGGGACTCGCAGCCTGCCCAGAAAGGAGGCAGGTCCCACCCGCAGCGAAGGTGGGTCCCGGCTGTGCCTTAGCCCCACGCCGCCGTCTACAAGGACACAGGACCTGGAAATCTGCAGTGGCCCTCACCAATGCCCTGCAGTAGTGACTGACCGGTGACAGCCACAGACGTGCCAGCTGATGAACAAGGCTGGTGCCCGAGGACGGGGCACCAGGAGGGGACACGCACTGTCACAACAGCCCTGGGTGACAGTGCAGCCTGCAGCTAGAAACGCTGGAGAGGGCTCACGGAGCCAGCCGCTGGCAGCGCTCAAACAGCCCCAAACAGGAAAATGCTCAGAGGGGTGAGATCACAGCTCTTGAAGAGAGGGACCCTCTGGCCAAACATACCAGGTGTCCCCGGGGGAGGGGGTGCGTAGCCTTAACCCCTGCAGACTGAGCTCCACCCACTCAACTTGCCTAGAATTGAAATGTTCTTTGAACTACTCTCACCGGCAAATAAGCTGCAAGGAAATCAGGGCTGAATAATCTTTCTGTCCAGCAGGGACGGGCCACTTATGTCAGGGAGAGAGATCCTTACTCTTCAGTTTTTAAGAGGGAATGAATGTCTACTTATATCAAAAATAGGCAGCTGAGTGCTAGCAAACGGCTCTGGGCAGCCTTCTCTCAGGGGCAGAGGCTCGTGGCCTTTTACCCCCATTTCAACATGGGCCCAAGCATCATCGCCAAGAGCCAAAATATAGGACTCTGAGATGCAGAAGGATATTTCCAGATGCGCCACGGTAGGTCTGAGTGACATTTTCACAACCTAAGATTCCAGGAGGCCAAAAGGCTGTGCTCAGCGTGCCAAACATCACATATTGGAAGACATAAATCCTTCCTGACCACTTTTACAGGCAGCTTTAGGTCCAAGAGTTTTGGGTTTTTTTTTTTTTTATCTCATCCATATGTATTCATAAACTCTTATACCTATTTAATAAAGAGGTTCGTTTGATAGAAAGCATATGCCATGAGCTGATCCTTAGAAACACTTAAATAGACTTTCCCCGTGATCTGGGAGAAATGGCCTCTATTCTAATAAATCAAGATTAAAGCTCCTTCAAATAGAAAGCACTCAATTGTCGGCCTCTTCACCATTCCCAAGGCTGCTCTCTTATTTATCTTTGCGACAGGCTAGAGGTGTGGTGGTGTAACTCAGATCCAAACGTTTGAGAGAGAGGCATCATCTGTTAACCCAGTGTCCAGCTTCAATACAGAAACTGGTGTGTGGTGAGCTGGGGCTTTTACTCCATCTGTCCTTAGGAGTAAAAGATTTTTTTTTAAACCGGTATCATGGACCTAAGCAAATAAAATAAATAGATACACAAAAATCTCCACCCCCCACCCCTGCCAAGTCATAACCTCATTTTTGAATAGTGACCATTAGTGTAAAAACGGGCTTAGCACTTCTGCAAAATCCTTTCTCATTATTCTTATTCTTATTTTTTTTTTTTTATAAGAGCCAGGTGGTCTAGAGCTCAGCGCTTTGGAGGCCAAAGCAGTGTCAGGACTGGCCGCCAGGGACGCTGTGCTAAGGTGGATTCTGAGTCAATGGCCATCTCAGTGAGATCAGGTAATGTGCAGGGGAGAGTGGGGAGGGGGACAGGTGGCTGGACCGCAATACATGCCACCATCCTTGCCCTAGAACCCTGTGTAAAGGCTGAGTATTTTGTCCCTCGAGTCTAGGTTAGAGTTGAGGGATTTGATTCTTAGTCTCTCTCGTGAGCAAACAAATCCCCCAAACACCCTAGGAACCAGCCCAAATCTCTCTCCGCATGAAGTGAACAAGTCCTGGACTAATGGTGGCCGTTGATGTAACTGCCACGGCTTCTCACAGGCCTGAATGATTCTAAGGAACATTCTAGCAGGTGTTTCCAGGAAGCCCCCAGGCTCACATTCTGGGATGCTCCGGTGCCTCGGTGAAGAGTGCTCACTTCCGCAGCACACAGACTAAAATCGGTCCTCCCTGAAGGACTTCATGCTCTAAGAGGGGCCAAAGGTGAACACACTCTTGAGCATCTAACTTCAAAGCCCTCCCCATGGTTCAGAAGCCCCAGGGAGGCTTGAGCCCACCAGTCAAGACACCTACCTATCATCTGAGCGATGGTCTTCTCATACTCAGCCACTATTTTCCTGTAAGAGAAGTAAAAACATGCTGCAATCATGATAACTGAATGGTTTCTAATTGACACTAGGGTCCATGAGCTAGATGGAAGCCTGACCAAGTCTTAGTTTTTTTCCTTAAAGTTTATTTACTTATTTTGAGAGCAAGAAGGAGAGAGAGAGAGAGTGCAAGTGAGGTAGGGGCAGAGAGAGGCAGAGTCCCAAGAAGGTGCTGCATTCTTAGTGTAGAGCCCAATGCGGGGCTAGAACTCACGAACCTGTGAGACCCCGACCTGAGCTGAAACTGAGAGTCAGATACTTAACAGACAGAGCCACCCAGGCGCCCCCTAGAGGACAAGTCTTATTTGTCAGAGTTGGGTCACACCTCTCGGCTCACCTCCAACCTCGCCCCTCTTCCTACATACCTAAATAGGTTCGTTTTCCTAGGGCATGACTCTGAACGCACCATGCCCCTGGGCAAAACCTTTGAAGTATCCCTACTGCACACTGAGAAAAAAAGTTAAGGCCAACCCTTCAGCCTGACAATCAAAGCCTTCCATAACCTGAGCCTGATCCCTTTCATCAATCTTACCTCCTTCCCCGCCATGGTGGTTCAATAAGAACACGTGAGTTTTTGCTGGTCTGGGATTTCTCACCACCATGACCCTGCCTGTGTTGTTCACCTCCCCTCTCTATTTCCACCTCTCATAGTCTTCTCTGCTTCTCAAGGTCCAATTCAAGTGCTATGTCCTCCAGGAAGCTTTCCCTGATTTCTCCCCTGAACGTCACGACATTTTATCTGAATCTTCCAAAACATCTCACACATCTGGCATCACAGTACATCAGCAGAAGCTCCTCAAGGCCCAGGGGCCACTACTTGGTCACGGACGATGGGGTGGGGGAATGAGGGATGTAGCACTTCTTAGAGGGCCTCAACAAACCTTAGCTATACAAAAGCACGAAGATCCCCTGCTTGTAAGATGGCCTCACTGCTACCCCCAACGGGAAGGACCCAGGAGTGAAGACGCCCTCTCTTCAAAGTCAACCTTCTGGAAGAAGACTTGAGAGTTTCACCTACATTATCCAATAGTTCTTCTCCACAAGGGACCCAAGAGGCGCCAACCGCTACCAGATCCAGGACCCCTGATCACAGCTGGCCCCGCCTCTCCCAGCTGTGTGACTCACACAAGTCGGTCACAGACAGTGGGGGCTCAGCTGACTCCCTGCTATGGTGAGGATTATCCTGCACCCTGACTTTCAGGGCCGTGGGAGAACTGAATGAGGTCAAAAGACCAGTGAAAGCAGAAGGCATTCTGCAAAGTCTAAAGGCGTCACACCTGCTGGGTGTCTGTCCCTGGATTCTTGACCTTGGCCGCAAGGACAGTGCCTCAACCAAAGCCAACCCGCAGCAAATAAAGGCGACCACGACATGAGCCCACTTGGGTTCTTTCTGAATCCTACTGATTCAGAAGCACTCTACATTTTCTGTAATTAAACAATACCTCCTTGTACCCCTGAATCATAAAACCAAGATGGACCCATGAGGCTGCCTGACCGGGACCCATCACTGGACCACAGCAGGTGGGGGATGCGTTCTTCCAGAGGTGCAGGGACACCAGGGGCCCGAAGCTGCTTCGGTGCTGCTATATTTGTGTCTCCTCCTCACAGTGACCTCAAGGAGCGGTGCCCTGATTGTCCCCTGAAGTGCTGATGGGGCTACTGAGGGCACAGGGCCAGGCAGGAACTTTCCCGGAATCCCAGGGCTATCAAGTGGCAGAGCTTGGATTCGAATTCAGACGTCGGACTCTGGAGCCTTTATGCCTTGCTGCCTCGAGGTGCTGTGGTTCTCCCTTTATCACAGACGAGGAAAGTCAGCCTAGAGAGTTCAGGAACAGACCCCAGAGCAGCTAGGAAGCAGAGTGTGAGCTTCCCCTGGTCTGGTCTGGTTCCAGAGGGTGGACATTTGGGCCTTCAAACACGAGAGCAGCTGCACCAGCGGGCGACTCAAATCCTGCCACACTGGTTGGTAAACAGCACTCCCTGCCGAACCCAGAGGAACAGCTTCTCCCTGGGATGCAAAACAAATCAGGGATGGGGCTTCTAACCTTCCCAGCATGCCCTGCTTTCATTTTCAGGGCAGGCAAAAAATGAAAGCCATGCTGTCCCCTCCTCTATTCCCCTATTGAAAAAGAGAGAGAGAGAGAAAGAAATTTTCAAATGACACCACCACAGGGCCTCAGTGTGAGCCTGTGAAACAGCACACTAGGATTAACCTCCAGAAGTGGTCACAGAAAGCATCAGTAGGAAGAAGGAAGTACCAGGAGAATTTTCCGGAAGATACTATTTGACCTAGAAAATAGGGGATACGATTACCTAAATAACTTGCTACTTAAACAGTAGCCAGGGGCTACCTGGGTGGCTCAGTCGGTTAAGCGTCCGACTTGAGCTCAGGTCATGATCTCGTGGTCCATGAGTTTGAGCCCCGCATTGGGCTCTGTGCTGACAGCTCAGAGCCTGGAGCCTGCTTCAGATTCTGTGTCTCCCTCTCTCTGCCCCTCCCCCACTCATGCTCTGTCTCTCAAGAATAAATAAACGTTAGAAAAATTAAAAAAAAACAAAACAGTAGCCAGGAACGTAGCCGATTCTGATAATTAACCAGCAGCTGCTATTGCAAATCATGTGCACTATAAATGAACTAATTCTTGAACCAATTTTTAAAAATTCATCTATTCCCTGACTCCTGAACTTTGAGACTTGAAAATGAAGCAAGCCTGTTAAGGAGTTTCAACATAGCACCAGATCTTCTGTCTTGTTAAAAATGATCGTGCTTGAATTCATCTCTTCCCTTGCAACTGGAAAACACATGTGTCAAGTTCAGCTTGTCCTGAAGAAAGGCAGGGGTGTGGAAAGGTGAACTCTGCCCCCAGGAGCGGTTCTCAGGCCCAGGAGCGGGGGCGGGGGGGGGGGTCACCCCCCCCAGTACAGAGCTCACTAACCTAGGAAGCCCGGGGCCATGGTGTGGGCCCAAGTTTCTTAAAAACGCCACTTGGCGATACAATTTTTAAGATCATATCCCAAGGGCAAGTTCTACCCCAAGAGGTGGTTTCTTAGTGTCTAAGATGATGATGAATCATGAAGAAAAATGAAGGGCAAAAAGGTGCATCAGACATGACAGTAAGAGAGGCAGGCCCCTGGGTACCATGGAAAGAGTTGGGGTTTTGCAATCAGAAAGGTAGAATCAAATTCACGTCCTTCTGCCCAGAAGCTCCAGGACCTTGGGCAAGTCACCTAGCCTCTCTGAGCCTTCCACTGTCAGATGGAGCGGACGATCACTTCTTGAGGGCCGTGGGGAGAAACAGAGACTGTGTGCCTCTGGCCAAAAACACAGCTCATGGCCCATGGGAGGCACTTAAGATGTGGTGGCTGTTATACTTCTAATACAAACGCAGCAAATGGAGAGATAAATCACTCAAGACAAAATTCTGGAGATAACCCAACTGCTTATCCACTGAGACTGGGGAAGTTCACTTTGTTAGAACCATACATGGACCATTAAACCTGTTAAACGATAAGGTCAAGTTGTATAAAAATCTGTCCAAGATTTACAAAGTTAAAACAGAATATAGGCTAATGTACAGTTCCACTCTCCGCTTTGGAGGAAAAACAGAGTCTGTATAGACACATTCACACATTTGCAATCAGACATGGAAAATCCTAGGGGCGCCTGGGTGGCTTAGTCAGTTGAGCGTCCGACTTCGGCTCAGGTCATGGTCTCACAGTTTGGGAGTTCGAGCCCCGCATAGGGCTCTGTGCTGACAGCTCAGAGTCTGGAGCCCACTTCTGATTCTGCATCTCCCTCTCTCTCTGCCCCTCCCCTGCTTGTGCTCTGTTTCTTTCTCTCTCAAAAATAAATAAACATTAGAAAATTAAAAGAAAAAAGAAATGGAAAATTCTTGGGGCGCCTGGGTGGCTCAGTTGGTTGAGTGTCCAACTTTTGATTTTGGCTCAGATCATGATCCCAGGGTCATGGGATGGAGCCCTGCTTTGGGGGATTCTCTCTCCCTCTGCCCTTCTCTCCCCCGCCCTCTAAATTAAAAAAAAAAAAAAAAAAAGAGGGGAGCCTGAGTGTCTCGGCTGGCTAAGCACCTGACTCTTGATTCCACCTCAGGTAATGATCTCACAGTTTGTGCGATCGAGCCCTATGTTGTCCTCTGCGCTGACAGCTTGCTTGAGATTCTACCCCCGCACCCCGCTCCTCCCCTGCTCATGCTCTCTCTCTCTCAAAATAAATAAACTTCAGGAAAAAAAAACAGAAAGAAATGGAAAATTCTTGGAAGGATATACCAAAAGTGGTGGATAGCAGCGACCTGAGGGGAGTGGACTTAGAGGCTGAGTGGGAAGGAGATTTGCTTTTCATTTGCACGTGTATTTATTTGTCTGCAATACTTAGCTCAGGTGCATGATATTTCAATAAGAGTAACATTATTAGAAATACTTTGGTGAAAATATAAACCTTGTCACAAAGAACAGGTACGTCTTGGGAGGACCTGGTTCGTGGGCCACGGCAGCTCCAGCTGCTACGAGACCGCAGGTGGGCGATGCCCCAGGGGCCAGAGGGCACCACCACTGACCTCATTTCCATCACCTCCCGCCTGCTTTCTTCGTATTTAGCCTTCCACTCCGAGACCTCGCTCTCCTTGGTTATGATCTGGCATCAGGGAGAAAAGAGAACGGTGAGCTCTGGAGGAGCGAATTCGGATCCGAGCGATTCGCACACCAAGAAGGAAACGCTGAATAAATGCAGAATTAGAACTTCCCACACCAAACAATAATCGGATTCAGAGAACTTCCCCGAGCGCGAGACAGAAGAAATACGTCAGATATCAGACTTCCGCAATGCCCACCAGGGAGCAACTAAAAGCCATGTGCTTTTTGTTATAAATCAAACATGGCCACAGAGGCTCATTAAACAATAGTGTCCGGGAAGATCAAAGCCTGGTCTGGTACCCGCCTCTGACCACGGTGGTTGCAGAAAAAAGTCTGGGTCCAAAGATGCTGGCTTTGTGAACCACGGGTGTAAATATATTTATTTACATGCGGCAGAAACCAGAGCTTTTCCCGGTGCAAGCAGAGCCACCCTCCTCCGAGCCACACACGTGCCACGTACCTCTGCTCTGGCGATCCGGAGCGCGGAGTCCAGGTCAGGCTGCTGGAATAAAAGTCCTGCGGGCTTGTCCACCTCGGCCGTCCCGATGCGGGAGTACAAGGCTGTTTTAGAGATGGGGACATCTGCTGGGTGACCAGCTTCTCTCTGTGGAATGGTTTTTAATTAAAAAAAAAAAAAAGTTAATATTACTCATATGACAGAGGATTTGCATTCATTCTCTTATGAATGGTTTTGGAACAAAGAACATCAAAAATATGAGAAAATGCTCAGATGGATGAGTGGGGACAGGCTGGATACAATCTACAGAGATCGATCATTTTGCACCTGCACAGGCAGACAAAGGGGCTAATGCCAGAGGCTGCCCCAGCTCCCCGCTTCTGGAGTCAGGCCCGTCTGGAGCCTGCTTATCACCGCCATTTATCAGACGCAGAGGCATTTAGGCATCGAGCTTAAGAACCAAGGCCGTTCTCCAGCAGGCTCCGCTTCCAAAATAAAAGCCGGATGGTGAACGATGTTGAATTCTAATCTCCGTTCGCCTAGTTTTGAATAACTGCAGATCTGATCAGTTTTGTAAGACTGTCTGCATTCCAATTTGGGGAACATTCGCTCAGCCCCGTTTGGAAGGATATGCTCACACAAAGCTCAGGGCTGACTGTGGCTATGAAACAACGTCACCTTCGACAGCCAGTTTCTAGGCGCCCCAAGGTAAGGGTTACTTTGCAGTTATGTCGCCTTAAGGCTGCCGTTTCAATGGCAAAACTGAAAACCAGATCAATGACAACACCCCCATTTCCTGGTAAGACCCTCAACAGATGGTTGGGATTCTCTGCCCTCTCCGGCAACCGACACTGGCTCGACTGGACAGGGCAGTCACTAGCCTCCTGGGAGGGAGGAGAGGACCCCGGTGACTCTTCCTCCCTTTGCACAAAAAACTCAGCCATTTCCAACACACTTGAAACGCGGTGTTAGGAGCGTGGTCAGCCAGCCAGCGCAGCCCGGCTGGTGGTCTAGTTCTACTGCCAGAGAGACCAAACCAAGCACACTCGCAGTCCTATGCATTAGCCTCCGCACTATCATGGCTGTCCAGGCAGACCGCCACCCCTGGTGACTAGAGTCCAATTTGAGGTGGAGTAATGGTGGCATGCCAGTCGGGGGGAGGGGGGGGCTGCCGGTTCCTAGGGGAATTTATGAGACGTGGGCAGGAAACACAACACCTGGTGCCGTAGAGAGCGATGTGCAGAAAGTACAGGGAGGGCTGCTCTTGTAAGCGGAAGCGGATGAGGTTAAAGACTCAATGGTGGGGGGCATGGGGGCGCACCTGAAGGTTCTCTATCTTCCATCCCAAGAACAGGCATGCTTACCCCCCCAACTAGAGCATCAGAAAAAATGAACAATAACTTAGAAAAACTCCAGCAGAAATTTAATGGATAGGACTGGAGATGACGGAGTTAAGGCCTGTTAGTCGTATGCATGCACAGTGAATGACATGGTTTTGGGTGTCCTACAAGTGGGCTTGGGTTTCACCACCCCTGCCCGGTCTTGAGTAGTTGGGTTCCCTCTGCAGTGGGACCCCCGGATGATCACTCCACTCAGAGAGGGGAGCACACGGTCCCCTGTTCTACCAGACCCTGGAGATATACTCTCGTGTCAAATGGGATGCCACGATCTTTCCATCCTGAGGTCCCTAAAGAAGCTCCAGTGCAGGACACTGGACCAAAACCCAGGAGCTGGCAGGCTGATCTCTCAGAAGACAGAGGGCCACCAGACCAGAGCTCCGGAGCCTTGCCTGTGTATGGGTTGATCTCTGCTGTTTGAAATGTTTTCGAGGCTCTACTTGCCATATGGGAAACTTTTCATATGTAAAGTAAATAGTAAAGGAAGTAAATAGACTGCTATACCTAGACAATGAGACTCTGTTTGTATTTATGGAGAAAATTCACCAACACAAGATTCTGAACAGAATTAAAAAAAAAAAACAACTGTTCTGTCACTTTTTAAGGAAAAGGGTTCTTTGAAAAGAAAAAAAACTAGAATAAAATTTCAAAACGGAAGGATCCTAGACACCATCCACTCATCCAGGTCCTCTGGAAGATGAAAAAATGGCAGATCTAAGTGATTTGGCCAAAAGGTTTTCCAGAATGAGATTCAGTTCTGACTCGAAATAAGCCAGCTCTCTGAAGTGTGAGGGGAAATGAACTTAAAACTAACTTTATCATACGGGGCAGAAATGAAATCTGACCACTTCAGGAAGTGATGTTCTTAGAGCTGCCCGAGTCCTTTGGAAGGGAATGAAAAATAAATAAATTAATGAGCTTTCTCAGTAAACACAATAGCACCACATCCAGTGATTCTCTGCCACCTTTCATCCTGGCCACCTGGTGTTTTCAATAAAGGAACAGATGACTTCAGAATCCATTTGAATTACTGCCTGGAGTCTCTGCATGTTAATGAAATCCAAGGTACACACCCTGTTTTTCTCTTACAACCAAGAATTATTTCTAACTGAAATAGGTTTGTTTCTTGCTGATATTTTAACATCAGGCTTAGATTAAGCTTTGTTCGTCTCACCGAAGCCCCCACTCACTGCTGCTTTAGAGAAGAATCCCCAAAGCCAGGAGAATCACAGGGTAAAACTGTGAAATGGCCCCGACTCAGAAGAAAAAGCATGAATGAGCCTTTGGAGCCAACATCCAAGCCCTCAAGCCACTCACTCAGATCTTGGTCCCTGATTGGACCCTCTGGGGCACTGCCACCATCAGACCAGCAGAGCTCGAGCCTGGGGCCCTTCTGGCCTCAAGGTCTGCCACACCCCCAGGCTCACAGCCCCCCTTATGGCCAGTTCCCTGTCTCCAGGCCTCACGGGAAGCAAGGTGGGATCTCCCTGTCCAGGCTGTGGGAGGGGCGTGCACAGGGTGGGGGCCAGGAGTGTAGGTCAGGCTGGGAGCCCGTGGCAAGCTAGGTCAAGGTCATGGAGAGGGGGCACAGGTTGGGACGCTTGGGGGGGTGTCCAGGCCATGTGGTGTCAGGTGGGGCCTCTTGTTGGGGCTGCTGCATCCAAATTTGACCGCAGGCAGCTCTGGAGCTCGGGATGACACTGGGTGTGTGCCCTCACCCACTCCCACGGGAGGCGCCACCTGCCAGCGACTGGTCCCTCCTTCCGACTGAGTCAAGAAAGACATGTCCTCAGTCCCTCTCCACACAGGCTGCGGGCCATGACCGGAAACTCCCCAAACTGGCAAATATAAGCTGAAAGCCCCACGCTGGCCCTCTGTCACCGCTCTGCTCTCAGGCTGTTCCTGCGGCTTTCAGGCTCATGCTGGTCAATGTGGGGCGTGGTGGGTGGTTTCTGGTCAAAGCACGAGAGAAGGAGCCCGTGATGTCAGGCCACTCGCCCACACAGGCTGCCCCAGACCTACCTCCTCCTCCTGCCGACATGAAATCCAGGCGTCTGCCTTTATCGGCCAGGACTCGTGGAGGAATCCAACACTGCACGGGAGATTAGCACCCTTTCCCTCCCTAACTAAGGGGCCTGCTTCTAGGACTTCCTCTGGTCCTAAGGCTTGTGGTTTATATGACTCTTATTCCTACGTTACCCAGACACACCCTTTGTTCTTCAGATTGGGGTCCCCTGGACCGGAAAGGCCAACAGCTTTAGAGATCACAACCGGTATCTGTTATGGGCACAAATCCACCCCCTGCATGCCCTGTACCTGTTTGTGAAAGCCACACAGACAAGACATTTATGCTCTATCTATTCTGGTTACATTCGGGGCTCCTGTACCACGCAGCCGGCCACCCTGGCCAGACCATCCCCCAGGAGGTTACAATCGAATTCACTTCGGCCTGAAGGGAGCGGAAGAAAAACACTAAGGAGCTGCAGCCCCACACCCCGGGCCCACTGAGTCTTCCTCATTTCTAACATCTCCTGACTAATGAGACAGGAAACCCCACTGCAGAGCCTCGAAGGTCAGCGCAGCTGGCTGTCGGTCTGAAGGGAAATGTAAAGTGAAGCTGCTCGAAGGAGCAAGCAGAAATCGCCGCCACCATATTTCATGTGGCTTTTCATCCTTCCGAGTGATTTCATTTTTGTGTTAGCAACAGTTTAAGACCATGCTGCCAAAAAGACTGGGCTATGTCACCTGCAGCTGAAATTTATGGGCAGAAAAGAAGAGCAAATTGGATACACAGCTGCTGTTTCTCTTTCTATACATCAGCAATTTCCAAAGCAGTAAAGGGGCAATCAAGCATCTACATGAACAAGAAACCCAAAGAAACCCAAAAAGCGGTACAAGTTACTAGTGCAGAGAAAAATGTTCCTTATGCTCCAAGACAGTTCTGCCCCCAGGAATGTTTCTTTTAGCATCCTCTTCTGCAATGCATGAGGAGGTGGCTGGGGCCGTCTCTCCGACCCACACGCAGCAGAGTCACGTGACAGTATTTTCTATATCGAAATCGGGACACATGAGAGAAGAGGCTGTAATTGACAAGAAGTCAATGGCCAGCCAACCGGTTACGGGTCAAGTGTCAAGTCTGATGCGCCCTTGGAGGAAGGAGGCAGGGGCACGAGACATTCCAGAACATTCCACCCCCAGTCTGAATTCTTACTAGAATGTGCTCAATTCTGCCTCTGGCTGCTGGACAGCAATATACTGTATTCACAGTGGCCAAATTTGAAGCAATTCATTCTGTCCCTAGGCCACTGCCCAAGGGTATCAAGAAATAAATCTAATGGGGAAAAACTCATCACCGCTTGATGCTTTTTAAAAATCTTTCTCGTGGAAATTAAACCCAAGCTTCTGGGTTGACCGTGAGAACAAGGACGTCAGCAATGTGTATTAACATTCTCGCCCCTGTCCTGGGTCCCAGTGTTCCCAGTCTGGACACCCACAGTGTGACCGCCTTCTTTCACTGAGTGATATCTCTGGGAGGGAGCTCCCCCCGACCCCCTTTGCTCCAGGGAAACCACACGTGGGAGGCCCTGTGGGCATGAGCAGCACATGAACTTTGAGGCAAAACCAAGTGAGCTGTGAATTGAGATGGACAGTCTCCATTTGGAGACTGGAGTCCTCGTTCCCGCTGGGTCAGTGAATCACTGTCAGGCCTTGGGCCATTTCCATGGTCCCACTTCCCCATCTGTAAAATGGGCCCCAGACCCCCCTACAGTAGAAAAGCTGTGAGCATCTGATCGGAGGCAACTGAGCAGCTTTCATTTATTGTGTACCTACTGTGTGCCAGGCATGGCGCTGCCCCTCCCCCCATCTGTACAGCAACCTGCCACCTTGCTGTTAGTAGCCTCATCTCACAGCTGGAAAAACAAAGCCCCAGAGAGGTTCACCAACACGTTCAAGGCCACAGAGCGCACCGGGCTGCCCAACTCAGGGTGGGGTGTTGGGGGTGAGCATGAAGCAGGTCCTCAGAGACCGCAGCTCACTGTCAGCCCTGAGGGTGGGGCTGACCCTCACAGGGCCTGAGTTTGGCATGTCTTCAGTGACTCGTTCAAATTGTTAAGAAAAACTACTCCAAACTTGGAAGCCAGCCAGCCAGAGATTTCTGCATGCTCGGTGAGTATCATACTCTACTCTTGGCACGGATGGCCAACTATGGTGTGCTGCTAAACGGCCCAATGCCCCATTTTGTAAAAAGGGTTTATTGGAACACCACTCTACCTGTTCATCTATGTATTGTCTGTGGCTGCTCTTAAGCCACAGTGGCAGAGGTGAGTAGTTGTTACAGGGACCAGATGGCCCACAGAGCCTAAAAGATTGACCATCTGCCCTTTACAGAAAAGGGTTGCTTTTCTGTACTTCTATTGACTCTGGTCTATGGGTCAATCCAATATCTCAGGAAGGTCCTGATTCCACTATTTACTATTGATTAGGGTCCAGTCTCATTACAGTTAGGTAGTAACTTGTAGAAAATAGAAAAGCTGCGGGACACCTGGGTGGCTCAGTCTGTTAAGTGTCTGCCTCTTGATTTTGGCTCCAGTCATGATCTCACGGTTTGGGAGTTAGAGCCCCGTGTGGGGCTCCGAGCTGACCATGCAGAGCCTGCCTGGGATGCTCTCTCTCCTTCCCTCTCTACCCTTCGCCCACTCTCCCTCTCTAAAGATAAATGAAACTTAAAGGAAATAGAAAAGTTGCAATTTATGTTCAGTAGAGACGCAAGTGATTTTTACAGAAAACAAAACCTCAAAGTTTACATGTATGTCTCTTGTTTAGCCAGTATTAACCAGTTTCATATCGAACCGTAAAATAAGATTGCAAGAAGGTTCTAGACTTCTTTATTCCACCGACTCTACACCAGATTCTCATATTTTCCTCCATTCACCCGGCTTTACCACCCTGCTGCTTCCTTCATTACAGAGTTAACTGGATCTTAGGTGTGAACTCGGGGTCTATGAATCCAAGTTAGGCTTTTGGCTTTTTAGAAAATTTTAGACAACTCTGTAGAACACCGGCATTGCCTGCTTAGCCAATGGTTAGCAAACAAACTTCTGGACCACACCGCATTCTCAAGAGGCAGTGCACGGCAGCAGCAAACCCGTACCTCGGTCTCCTGGCGGCCACGGAAAGCCAGGGCAATCTGCCTGGCCAGCTTCAGGGCTTCTATCCGCATGACGGCAAATTCTAACTCCTCCTGCCCGAGAGCGGGGATGAGCAAACCGCAGGGGAAATGCATCAAGACAGGATGTCAATGTTTTCCACATCCAAGAAATGAATGTGCCACGTGATGTGTCATGACAGGTACTCAGGAAACACACACGCTCTGGCTTTCTTTCACAATTAACACCTCAGCAGATCATGAAATAAGTGTTTAATTTTTTTTTTCCTAAGTGCCCTTTGGAATATCTCTTGGGAAGTATCATGTGGTCAGATAGGACAAGATTTTTTAAAGGGGGTCACAATTTTTACTGCGCCCTTTCCTTCAGATTCTTTCCTTTCGTTTGCTTAACGTAAAGTTGGCCAGCAATTTCCATGAAAGATTTTGCATTCTCAAGCGACTGCTCACAATCTCTCTGGGTTTGCTCTGCAGGTCTTAGTATAGCGGATATCAAATTAAGCTGTCAAATTTACGGTATGGAGTGGCTAATTGTTTTGGTTCCAGATGTAAGGCCGAGTCCAGATGTTATCTCAACGGGAGTCTGAGACCGTTCTCCCGTATATATAAATAGTGGGGCTTGACGGTGATCTAATAATCTAATAATACCCTTGGTTCGGTGAATAAATCACAGAAACTGCTTTTGGGGCTATCAAAATTTCTGAAGAATGACTGTTTGGGTCTAATTTCCAAATTGAAATACAATGTGTTGTCCGTATGTAATCACACAATTTATATCATCTTGGCGTCTTGGATTAAGAACACCCATACGTCAGTCTTTGGGCGGGGGAACAGATTTTATGTGGAGCGTTTCCAGAAATACCTCATTCAATCCTGCCTCACTGCACTTGGGTTTCGGAGTTCATTCTCTACTGAGGTTTTCACAAACTCCCCACAAGGTCACACGTGGCTACAAACCTGAAGTTTCTGAGCAAATACTGGGGGGTTCTTTTCTGCTAAGTCGGGTTCCAGATAGTCAAGCGCACCACAGAGAGAGGCTGGATGAGCTAGCCTGCTGAGGAGGGCGTCAGCAGAGGCAAAGGAGCCCTCAGGAGCAGTCTGAAGGCCGGCAGAAGAGGACACAGAGGAAAAATAGAGGAGACAGAGTGATATCGATTCCAAGCAAGGACCACGCACCTATTTGCTGCACGTTCCTGGCTTAAGGCTAAACAGAATGTTAGTTAGGTGCCAATACTTTCCTTTTCATCTGGGGACTGATTTCCCCATGCTGGTAATGGGCATCTAGAGGTTGATGGGCCAAACCCCCTCCCCAGAAGCACAGCCGTAGGTGCCCTCCTGCACCACAGCCCCCTCACCCCCTGACCAATCGGTGGGAGAAAAATTACCATTTACTTATTTACTTGAAAGTCTCGGGGTGAGACAAGCCAGTTGATGGGTTTTCCAGCCATAATATAAGCCATCGAGAAAATACCTCCAAGTATAAATATCATCAAAGGTTTGGGGAAAGGTCATTTGCTATATAAAGGGAAGATGATTTCAAATGAAAACGTGGCTGTCGGTAGATCAGAAAGACTTCAATGTCAGAAGCCAACTGTGTAGAAGTGGAATCGTGCGCGAATCCCTTCATAGTGTCTGGCTGAGAATTGTTTGAATCCCATCTACTCTCTGCTTGCTAATATTTTCCCAGTATCTAACGGCCACACAGTAGGTGCTCAATAAATGTTTGATGCAGGAGATAAATGAATGGTTTACTCATATAGAACAACAAAACTGACACTAACAGTAACTAAATCAGCCATCTGAAATTCCCTTGGGGATTGGTAAGAGGGAGGTAAAAAAGATGAACATAAAATTCACCTATAAGGATGATCCACTTTAGATGTTCAGGGGATCTGCCTGCCCTGCAAGGCTCCATGGGGGCTGGGAGGAGAGAGGTACAGCCCTGGTCGCTACACAGGAGGGATTTCCCAACACCAAGGCCAGGAAAACTGACTGTTCCCTAAAAGGAGTGTCCCCTGCCCGCTATTCTCTGCCCTGTGCCGCAGAGCATGGAGAAGCAGGGGAGAGACTGAGAGCTGCTCCAAAGCAACTGTGGAGCCCCAAGGGACTAACACGGAAAACCAATAACCCCGAAGGCAAATAAAACACTGAGGTGAGAATTGCAAAACCACACTGGTGAGAATGAAGAGCCATAGCTCTCTCGTGGCTACGGGGGAGGGGTCTCCTAGGCTGGCTTCTGTGGTCCAGGGATTGCGTGGGGCCCCATGCCTGGTCCCAGGGGAGCATTGCTCTGAAGGCCTGGATCCCTTGGTGATGGGACTCAGCTGGCCCAGGCCTCACCCACCGTGATCTCGGGCCCCACTTACAATTTCAATTGCGTCTGAAGTGGTGCCCAAGGTCATGGCCTCCAGCTCCTTCTGGGATGGTTTCTCTGGCACCTGCAAGTGTGGCTCTTGGTTGGTAGCCAGCCCTCGTGTGACGGGGTGCTGGATCTTTGCGCCGGCATTCACAAGGGCTTCAGTTTCCTCGAAACTTGACCTGAGGGAGTGAAGAGCCTCTTTACTTTCCTCATGGGAAATCCCACTGACATTGACCAAGATGCCCTCAGTCAGTCAACATCCCGAGGGATCCTGGACTCCCAGGGCTGCATTCCCAGAGGGAAGTGGGGTGGATGCTGGGTGGGCTTGGAGCCCACAGGCTGCGCAGCCTGAGGGAAAGGGTGGTCCTGCTCCTGAGGGAGAGTCAGAGGCACAAATGCCACTGGCTGAGAGCACAAGCCCTGGAGGTAAGCAGACCGCCTGTCCCTTGGCTGTGCATTCTTGGGGAAGAGATGGGGACTGTATCTCACTTTCCTTCTCTGTAGGACAGGAGACAAGATGGCGCCCTGTGGCGACCAAAATGAGATGCTACCTGCGTACAGAGAGCACTTGACCCAGAGCTCATCACCAGTACCGTTGCTGTAATAACGTCGCCATCATCATGGAGTAAGTTTGGGAAAGCAAAGCAAGAGCTTTCAGTCCTGCTCAGAGAAGGGGCAAGTAAGTGGGGGTAGGAGGGTCCTGAGCACAGAGTGGTGCCACCCTTCCCCCATCCAGCGTCACACAGCTCAGAGCGGGACCCCGACAGATGGGAACTCACACGCACATGAGCAGTAAACTGTCCCAGGCGTCACACGGAAGCCGGCCCTGTGACTCGTGCTTTCCTTCTAGCACGTTGGTTTAATGCTCCCAATGGCACTGGAGGAGGGTCAGCCCCTACCCCACACAGAGTTTGGGGGGCTGCCTCATTTAATTACAGGGCCAGTCTTGTTATTACCCTCACTTTACACACGAGGAGACTGCAGCACAGGAGGGTCACATAACCCGCATCAGGTCACACACAGCCAGTAACTCAGGGTCTGAGTGTGCGGCACGCTGCCTCCCCACAGGACAAATCACAAAACAAAATTGTACGGGCCCTGGGGGGCGGGGCGGGGGTGATCGAAGGGGCTCATGCATTCAGCTGTTAACAGATTTCTCTTTAGGACAAAGGACAGCTGGAAACGCAGCCCCACGCGCACATCCATGTGGACACTCAGACCGAGATGTGGGCCGCCGGAACACACATGAATGAAAGCAAGCCAGGACAGCAGTGCCATGAGGCTCAGAGGCTTGGGGACGGCTGTCCAGACCCATAACTCTCCCCTCGTGAAAGTCATACCCTGAACATGGCGTCGGGGACTCTGACGTCCGGACCGGGGGAGACTTGACCGGGCTCTCCTGAGAAGTGTCAAACATAAGGTAGAGGGCCTGCTTCTTCGGGGCGTCATCGTCCTGCTGCAGGGACCAAGGCACATGTCAGCTCGGCTACAGGTGGCCTGAACAGGCTAGAGAGACTGAAATGCAGAGGTTCCCGGGCGCCTGGGTGGCTCAGTCGGTGAAGCATCCAACTTCAGCTCAGGTCACGATCTCATGGCTTGTGAGTTTGAGCCCCATGTCAGGGTCTGAGCCTGGAGCCTGCTTCAGATTCTGTGTCTCCCTCTCTCCTTGCCCCTCCCCTACTCATGCTCTCTCAAAAATACATAAACCTTAAAAAAAAATAAGAAAGAAATGCAGAGCTGTCTTCAATAGAATAACTCATCTGGGAAAAGCCTTCATTCTTGAGCCACCCAGAAGGGAGGAGCCAGCAGGTGCTGGCCAGGAGAGAGGAGAGGGGAACAGGAGGAAGAGGAAGGTGGAGACAGGAAGCGTGCGCCTGTGCTGCTGGGAACACTGTGGAGGGGGGAGAAATCGTCAGGCGTTGGGGTGCTGCACGCTGCCTGCTCGGTCCCCCAGCATTTACTGGCCAGCCTCTCGGGGTGAGGAGAAACAGAGGGGTAGGAGAGCCCCCCCAGGCTGGGTGCCACCCACAGCCGAATGCGGGGGGCGAGCATGGTGGCCGGGTGCGGTGAGCTCCTCCATCACGGTCTGCTGACTTAGAGCAAACTGCAGGCTGGAAGCAGAGATCACAGCATCCACGAATGATGCAAAGAGAGATAAAGATCCGAGCAATGTATCCGGCGCGTCAGTGTCACAGGAAGGTCTGCCGGCACCTGTGGGCCTCTGATGGCATCACTGGACAAGACCACAGAGTAAGAGGTCGCGCTGGGAACCAGGTGCCCTGGAGGGGGAGACAGCTGCCCATCACAGCCACTTAAATGACAAAGGGATGGCGACGTAGGGGAGAGGCATATGGTCAGAAGAGTCAGTCTTCACTTACATAAAGCATTTCTTTTGAAGAACACAGGTAACAGTACACCTTAGAAACAACCAAACCTTTCTTCCACCTTTCTAGGGAAACCTCTGACTAGTTCTTTCTCAGTCCAGGGAAGCAACTCTTTTATTTTTTTAGTTAGTTAGTTAATTAATTAATCAATCAATTAATTAATATATTTATTTTGAGAGAGGCGGGGAGAGAGCATGAGCAGGGGAGGGACTGAGAGAGGGGAGGAGAATATCAAGCAGTCTCTGTTCTGCAAGTGCAGAGCCCGATTAGGGGCTCGAACTCACACACAGCGAGATGGTGACCTGAGTCAAAACCAAGAGTCGGACGCTCAACGGACTGAGGCACCCAGGCGCCCCCTCCCCACCCAGGGAAGTAATTTTGCAGGAAGCCTAACTGTATTCGATCCTCTTCTCCCTGAAAACACCATCTCAAGTGGACTGAACACACACCTGAGACCCCCAGGCCCAGCTCACCCTTACTGTGCACCGAAGGATGCTACACACAGAGGACCCTGGCTTTGGGCCCTGAGCTCAGAAGGCCAGTCTCGCCTTTTCACAAGAAAGGGAGGGAAAGCAAGCACATCCCCTGCTGGCCTCAGGCAGAACTTACAGGTAAGGAGGAGCCAATTTTCTCCATGTATTCAATTTCATAGGAGTTTCTGTAATCCAACTCTGCAAAAGGAACAAAAGGAGAGTTAGCATCAGGGAGAAAGAAAAAAAGAAAGGTTTGGGCCAGGCAGGGTGGGGTCCGGAACCAGACGCTGATCTCTGAGCCTGTCCACTGACGAGGTTTTGAATTTGGCTGGTGGGGAAGGCTCAGCTCAGCAATTTTCAGACCGCTCGTAGACCTCTGGCTGCAAAGGGGCTTCTGCTGTTTGGGAGCCCGAGAGAGCCCAAGGGAATTAACCGAGAGCAGCACAGATCTGGCCGCGAATAGGTCTCTGCATGAAGCACCGAGTTTTCATAAGAGTGTGGTTTAAATGTTGTTTTCCGCTGTCAGTGTCCCGTGCAACACGGAGAATGTTCCCATCTCCTGAGGACATTCCGGAACTGAGATTTTAGCCCCAGCCGTACTCTGAACATACATGGTTCCTTCATGGCTGCTTGGAAGAGAAGCTCTGCAAGTCACCTGGAACATTCTGTCAGGGCCTGCAGGGTCGGTCCAAATCGATTTTTAGATGCGAAGATGATTCAAGTCCAAAGAGGTGGAGAAATGACCTATTTCAAATTGACTGGAGACCTCAGGCTGGAAAGAAAAGCCCAGAGGGTTTCATTGGAGACGAGAACCCCTGAGTCCCTCGGGGGTCCGGGCAGCTCCATGGGGATGCCGGGTTTACCCTCAGCTGAATTCTCGGCCTGGTAAGTGGATTCTGAGCACGTATGACGTGCCTCAACTGCTGGGCACTGTGGATGCGGTGGTGAACCAGACCGGAAAGGACGCTGTCCTCACAGAAGCCACAGCTACGGCTACCAGATGGTTCTTTCTTACTTGGAAAGAAAACTAAGAGATGACATGTGAGCTGCTCAGAAGGCAGTGGGACAAGTGTATCAGCGGCAATCCCAGAAGCCGAATGCCTGAATTTGTTTTTAAAAATTTTTAATATTTATTTTTGAGAGAGAGAGAGCTAGAGAGAGAGAGAGAGAGAGAGAGAGAGAGAGAGAGCGCGTACAAGTGGGGGAGGGGCAGAGAGAGAAAGGGAGACACAGAATCTGAAGCAGGCTCCAGGCTCCGAGCTGTCAGCACAGAGCCCGGTTTGGGGCTCGAACCCACAAACTGTGAGATCATGAAGTCGAAGTTGGATGCTCAACTGACTGAGCCACATAGGAGCCCCCTGAATTTTTTTTTTTACACAAAATACAAATAGCAGTTCTGGAATAAAGCACTTCCACATCTATGTATTATTGAAGGCATCACTTAAAAAATGATTCCTTAATAGGAGCTTTAAAAAGGAGATATGTCCTGGAAGAGTTTCCCCAAATCTGCAAGTGTGTGGGGTTGTGGCTGTATCAACTTAAGCACTTGACCATGGGGACAACTCTTCAGGAGTCGTTGAATCTCCCCGGGGAAGCCAACGCACTCTTCTCGTAGGCTTGGCCTGCTCAGGGAAATGAAGCTGGTTTTGTAGATTCAGAAGGACCTATGCCCTGATTTGTGGGTCACTCGGGAAGAGCACAGACCTCACGCCAACCACACACAGCTGGGCGGCATTCAGCATCTGTGCCTGTAATGGGAACCCGGACCCGGGCTCTGCCCCAACTCAGGACACAGAAATGTTTGTTTATGAAGACTTACTAGGTTCCTCATCTTATCAATGAGAGACAAGCTTAGGGACAGTGAAATACAAGGTGATTTCTAGTGCCTCCTCCAGATCTATCACTTTCCAGATGTGGGACCTCAGGACTATTATTTTACTGTCCTATTAAAGACTGTTTTAAATTGAGAAGACAATAGTGAATCAGCTGCCTCCTTCTCCAAGGTATCATTATTACTGTCAGGGCATTATTTACCCCTAAATTATTGAACAGAAACCCTCCAGCGCACCCCACAATGGTGCAGAGCACCCAGGATGCACCAAATGAGGCCAGCACTGAGAGATCTTCCAGGGACCAGTGTGCCTGGCTCAGTGCCCAGCCCTGGCCACCAGCTTGGCTCAGTGGAACGTCCCGCCTGGAATCTTAGCCCGTCTCCTGGCCGCTGATCTGGGTGAGTTTCAGGTCACGGAGCTCATTCATCTGCCTTCTTTCCTACCTGCCAAGGGGGCTTCCCTTCCAGCTCCCGGCGCCCCCATCCCTCCTTCAGAGCCAGCAGATGACGGCACAGCAGCAGGGGTCGTCTGACTCCCCAGAGAAATGCCCGCTTCTTAGCGTGTGTGGTTATGGGAGGCCCACCCCCTACACAGGAGCTTCTGTCCCTGGTGAAGCCTGGAGGCATTCCTTTGGAACAGGACCTGCTTGCAATTACAGCCATTTGGGGTTCTCAGGTATAATTTACCAAACGGGCTGGAAAAGATGTGAACAAAAACAATATCGATATTGTCTCCTGTATTTTGAGGGAACACCTTCCTGAATGTCATTTTTCAAAGCCTCACTCCTCTGCTTAGAGTGCGAAGCCTCCAAGGGCAGGCGTGGGGTGGGAAGAGCCCTGTCTGGTTTCAGCTCAGGCCACATGCAGCTGGAGGGCCAGGAAGGGTGATGTCACACCGTCACGTTCAAGAGAAGAGGCTGCTCGCTAAAGCGTGTGCTGCTTCAAGGTACAGAGGCCCGGAGTTATTTTTAATGGGCCCTGTCACATCCAAGGGCTCCTTCTGGTAATTATTTCATACCGGATGCCCCGACGGCCAGTCTCCTCCTGACGGCCGTTCTCTTCCGAGTCTCTGATGGCCAGAGCTCGGCCGGAGGGCAAAGAGCCCCGGGCAGCAGCCAGAAGGCTGTAGTTGAAGGATGCAGTCGTTCCCAGGGTTGGCAAGCCAACTCGCTGACGTCCCCTGCCCACTGCCTTGGCTTTAAAATGGAGTTCAGGGGCGCCTCGGTGGCTCAGTCAGTTAAGCGTCCAACTTTGGCTCATGTCGTGATCTCACACAGTTCGTGGATTCGAGCCCTACGTCGGGCTCTGTGCTGACAGCCTAGAGTCTGGGGCCTGCTTCGGATTCTGTCTCCCTGTCTCTCTTTGCCCCTCCCCAGCTTGCACTTTGTTTCTCTCTCTCTCTCAAAAATAAACATTAAAAAAAAAATTTTTTTTTTTAAATGGAGCTCAAAGTGCCTACATTTTGCAAATGAAATGATGTCAGAGAAAAACCATACGATGGGATCTACAAATGCACGGGATTGTGATGGGGTATATGATTGCTCACTGCTAATATTTCTGGAGCTTTTAACATAAGTGAAGGAAAGACCATTAGGAAGGGGACAACGTGGGATGCCTGGGTGGCTCAGTTGGTTAAGCGTCTGGTTTCGACTCAAGTCATGATCTCATGGTTCGTGGGTTCGAGCCCTGTATTGGGCTCTGTGCTGAACGTTTGCTCAGAGCCTGGAGCCTGCTTCGGGTTCTGTATCTCCCTCTCTCTCTAACCCTCCTCGGCTCACACTCTGTCTCACTTTGTCTCTCAAAAGTAAATAAATGCAAAAAAAATTTTTTGTTTTTAAAAAGGAAGGGGACAACGTCCTCGCTGTCACTCTTCTCAATGCCTGAGGGGTCACAGCAATGGTGTCCAACACTGAAGAATAGGTAGGGCTCCTGAGGCGAGCGGCTGCCCCTCTATCGAAAGCAAGAAGGTGGGGCTGCCGTGCTGTGTGTTAAGGGAGACGAGAGAGCTGGGTGACCCTCAAAGGCCCATGCAGACTCGTGAATCTAAAACACTGCTCTCTTAGGGTCTCCTGGATCTGGGCTGGGAGAGGTCTTGATGGCTCTGTTGCCAAATTCTTCCTAATCTCCGCATCCCTAGAGGCTACGCAAACTAGGCTTTGCCAATATTGCACCAAGAAGAGGCCATTTACCAAGCAAGTGTTCAAAGAAAAACATGTGTGACTGCCAACCTGAGTTTTTAATCAGTGGGAGATTATCAGTGAGCTGATGTAATTATGGCCCAAACAGGTCATTTTAATTAGCTGGGCATCTTTCTAAACGAGTTCCGTCCAGGTTTCTTGAAGCATTAAGACAGCTTGGAGCTCTTGTGGACCCAGGTAGGGGGGGTACTGATTATTTCAACACCCTCTTTCTACAGCGAAAGGAAGTCTGTGCGGCGCTCACATATAAGAGCGTAGTGGGCACCTCAGGAGTCAGACAGCCGTGGCCATACCCGGGTCAGCCCCATGATGCTCAGCAAGTCGTTACAGCGCAAAGCCCCTGATTCCTCGCTTTGCTCCAAGGTGGAAAAGAGCAGAAATCCACTCTCTAGAATGGAGAGAATGAAATGGAATCACGTTTGCCTTACTATTGTCACTTAGGGAATCGGCACTGTGCTAAATACCTGTTCAGGTGGTAATTATTACTTCTAACCCCAAATTTCGTTTTCCTGTGATTGGTGACTTCAGCACAACAGAGTCTCAGTCACAACTACAGCTCTGGGCAGGTTCTTTGTGGCTGATGACATCAGCAGCCCAGGTGCCTGTCTGGTGTGGCTGGACTTGACCCCATTAGGTTAACAGGAAGGACAACCCGATAGCGGGCTGCGTATCCAGTTTCTACATCCAGCTGCTGGAGGGAAGCGACTATATTAGAAAGGTGAACGCAGGGTCAGCACCCCCTGAGATCACAACGTACTGCGTTCATACAGATGATGGATTTCTGATTGCCCAGCAGCTGTAATTACGGTTGGGACATTCCAAATCTTCACGATCACTTTCTAAGGAGGCAGGTTTGATAGGGTTTTGTTTCAAATGTATAGGTTTACCTATTTGTTGAATTTTTGCAGAAAACAAGCAATGATCCAATGGGTCACTGAGTTGTCTGTTTCGGTTCAATGTTAACGATGAGGAAACAGATGCTACTGTTGATCGGGGCACCTGTGAGCTTATCAGGTACTATTCAGGGCTTTTGGATTTTCTACTATAAATGCATGTATTTACATCATCATGACAGAATGGGGTGACCTCAGAGCGGCCCTCACCAAGCATGGAGGGAAGACAGCACAGAGATGTCCGGGGAAAGGCTGGAAGGGCAGGTGAGCAGGGGGCGCAGGGAACATTCTCGCCTATAGCAGCTACCCGAGTGGGGGCGTCCATGCGGGAAAAGTGGTTCCGTCTTTTCCAGTGTGGCTCATGGACCAGGTGTGTGTGCAGAGGAATAAGACGACTGAAGAGGGGTCAAAGGGCAGGTCCCAGGGTCCTGGGGTCAGGGAGGAGACGGTCACTATTAAGCCTCCCAAACCGCAGCCTGAGGGCCAACCAGACAGCCAACCAAAAGGGTCTCTTCTGCAGAACTCACACTGCCAACACATCCGAGTTCACATAATCTAGATGATCTGTAAAGAGGCAGTGTAGATGATGAGGGAGCCTAAGGCAAGCAGACAGGCTGCAAACACTCCCCCCTCCTCCCAGGGGGGACATGTGTGACCTTCCTCGGGCACTCCCGGCTGCCCAAGGACAAAGGGGGAAAACAAATGGTTAGCAGATAGAGCTCACAGTCCTGCAGCACCTGAGTCTCCATCTATTTACAAATATCTTAGTAAACGACAAGAAAAAGGCGCTCTTATCAATAGCCTCATCTCCAGAAACTTACTATAGACTCCGTTTTCTGGAGCCCCAACATCACCCCTCCATAGGGAGGTGGGGAAGAAAGGCAGAAGGAAATGGCAGCTAGAACTCAATTTCCTTCTAACCTGCAGCCCACTGACCAATACTTGAGGAAGACACAGCAAAACATCTCTCCAGGAACTCCCTACTGCCTTCATGCTAATCTTTGCTAGAGGGAAAAACAACCTTAGCTTGACAATAGCTAGGTCTCTGGTATCCAGTGAGTCTTCGTTAGCATATGAAAATCTCACCGGAAACTTCCCTTGGACTTTGCCTCCCCCCAGTCTCTCCTCATGGTCCCGGGGCAGCTCTTCCTACCCTGGGTCTTGTTCCGGTGCTTCAATAAAATCTCCTTTTTGCACCCAAGACGTCTTCAAGAATTCTCTCTTGGTCGTCGGCTTTGGACCCCACGAATCCCACTGTCACCCCAAAAAAACCTCATCATAGTGAGAAGAATCCACTCTCCTGCCACCGCCCTCAGTGAAACGGACCTCACTGGTATCGTTCAGAGACCTTACGGGCACAAAGCCAGCCACCGAGCAGCCGGTCACAGGAGAGCCTGCAGAAGAAGCAGTCTCAGCTACCGTCCCAAACTACCTGCCCCTCACGTCCACCAGCGCCCCTCCCCCAGGGGGTGCAAGAGGCTGGTTCATGGACATCGTGGCGCCCTATAAACAGCACAGAAGCGGAGATAAGATTTTCCCGTGCGACGGTCCTCAAATTGATTTCTACTCCATTTTTTCTTTTTTTTGACTTGTGGGACATCGAGACCTTGGAAAGGGAGCCTCAGCACCATCACAACAGTCCCCGAGTCCCCGGAGCACTGGAGGGAAGCTCACAGCAGGGCAGGTGCAGCAAAGGCATGCAGGGCCTGGGGCAGAGCACTACCAGACGGGGAGGTGGGTTCAGGCCTCCACAGCTTTCCTAACGAGAAAGGAAGTGTGGGAGCCAATATAGAGATCCAGAGAAAAATCAGTGTTTGCAGAATAAGCAGTTCACAAGAAAGAATCTTGATACACCCAGTGATGCCGCGCTGGCTTACGATACATGAATTTCTCAAGCCAAAGAATCAGGCAGAGAGCTCAAAGCTGATATGTGTAAGAGGAAGAAAGGTATTATTGAGAAAAGCAATATGCCCGGGGGCCTGTTCAGGAAAACTGTCTTCTCGTTGGCAAGACTGGAGTGAACCAGTTTGGGGCGTGGGTAGATGGTGCCGCCACACTGTGGACCATCCCGTAGGGACGATGATCAGCGGTGGCACCAAGGGACCCCAGGCGTGGGCAGGGATGGTGCTGCCTGCAGCTAGGGGTGTGTCTCAAGTTCACCCAGGCACAGAAGCCACAGACCTGAGCCAAGCTGGAGCGGCTCAGGATGAGAACTAGGTGGCTGCTGTGCTAAGCTGACTGGCTCCCAGCTGGTGTCTGGGTGGGGGGCGCAGCGGGGCTCAAGCCTTAGGCTGGTTTAAAATGCAGACTTAGCTGGGAAGGCGTGGATACCTGGCCTAGAAGTTTCCTTCCTGGCTGTTTGCTCCCTAGGGGCGTGGCAGGTAGGGGTCCGGCTGGCCACCAAGCTGCTTACCCTCCGTGGGTGAGTTGAATTTGGTGTCATTTACGAAGGTGGACAGGTCTGAGGGCTGCGGGTAGTCCTGCTTGTCGGCCTCCAGACCCACCGTCACACACGTCCACTTCTGGTTGGTGACCGCCAACTTCTCCTCGTCGGTTGCATGGACCACGGCGGAGATCACTGGCGTTTCCGGTGCAGCCGCCGGAGTGGAGTCCTGGGAGCAGAAGGGAAGTGGTCTCTCTTCTCGTATGGTCCCTGCGTCCCCAGCTGCACCCACCCAGCCATGTCTGGGGCCCTGCTAACCAGGGCACGTCCCCGTCACAATCCTCTGGGTCCTCAGACTCTGCTCAAAATGATCCCGAGGAGACAGATTCTTTCGTCTGTGACTTTCCCTTCCTGACGGCTTGTTACAGGGGGTGGCGGAGGGTTTAAAACAAACTAGGATTTTGTGTCTGAGTTATTTTGAGACATTCCCGCTCGCTCACTGTGAGAAAAACAAGGACATTTACTATTGGCACTTTTATTACTCAACTATCGAGTTCTGTCTACACAGGGCTTTAGCAATAGCCTTAATAACCCCTTGAGGATCCACACACCTGTGGTTGGAGGATTTTTCCATGGAGGGGGAGCAGCTGAGCAGGGCAGCGGGGGCGCCCAGAGTGCTAGAACAGAGCTGGGACCGGGACCCAGCCCCCTCTCCTGGGGCGGGCGCCTTTCCATGCAGCCCCACTGGGGTAGGGTCTGCGGCCGGGCCTCACTGGCTCAGATAGGGGCCTGCGTGCACACCCGAGGCCAACCTTCCTCGGTCTGTAATGGTACAGATCTCATAAAGGAGCTAGTGAGAGCGAGACGGGCACACCTGAAGGAAGGGCCCGAGCCTCCACTTCTTTAGAGCATGATTTCCTTTCTCTCCCCTACTTGGAACTGGTTACATAATCCAGTGCTCTTGACATATACTCCGTTCCTTCTCACCATATATTCATTCATCTCAATGGACATTCTCACTTTGATATTCATATAGGTTCTCAGCAGATGAACCGGCAGAATGGATGAACGGATTGGCGTGATTCCTACAGAACGCACCAAACACCTGCTGAACATCTTTCTACTCTTGGGACACACTCTGACCTTTCCCAAAGGGAAGGGGTCAAAACAGTGTTTTGCAAACAGCAAGGGACATCCCATCCCCCTAACCCTCCACCCCTGCATGTAGGAGGCAAAAGAGGGATGTTGGAGACGTGCCCGTGATGAACAGAAGAGGTAGTTTTGTGGACTCGTAGGGAATCAAAACACATGGGCTCTAACTGCCTGGGTGAGTGGTAAACTCATACTTTATCGAGGGAATGTTGTACCTGAGAAGGTGGATCAGAGAGAGGAGACCGTTTTGGCGACCTTTTCACCCTAAATGTGTCACTGGAAATAAAATGGAAAATGTCAACACAACAGACAGCGGTACAGAAAAATCTAGAACTCCATAGAGCAGACCCACACCCAGACCCGCCCTCCAGCCCACACCACTGGCTGAAAGATGGCGGCTGAAAGATGGCCCTGCCGACTGTTCATTCCGACTTAACAACAGATACTGTCACTGGCCCCGAGGGAAAGAGTCCTCAAGCTGGAAATCTTTAGAGAGATGCCATTTTGGAGAGCTGGCCCAGAAAATGAAGCTAAATTTAGCCAGATGTTCTTATTTTAAAAAGCAGATTTTGATGCAAATAATGTATTCAGATTCATCCAAGAATGTCTGAGCCAAATGAGGCGGGGTCAGAGATCTAGGCTCCTGACCCTAGTTAACAGGAACCAGTTTACTGACTGGCAAGCTGACATAGCTCATAATGAACGGCTGAAGGAGCTGGGCAGAAACACAAAGGAATGTTCTGGGTCTTCAGGGAGAATTCCTTCCCACTCCCTGGAACTCTGCACCTCAGAACCGGGTGACATTCTGACCACAGACAGGCCCAGGGTTGAGACGATTCTTTTTAAAATTATGGTAGAATCTCCCTAACACACCACTTATCATCTTGAACACTCAAGTTCAGTAGCGTAGAGGATGTTCACATTGCACAACCAGTCTCCAGAGCTCTTTCCAGGGATGAGGGGATTTCTCTAACGTGTATTCCCAACCACGGTTAACAACTCTTTTTTCTCTCTTTCTCCTTTTTATAAATTACTGGGGGTGGGCGCGGGTCACCAAAGGCAAAGGAAACATCAGATCAGATGTGCGAAGGGGTCAGAAATAAAGTAATTTTGGCATGCAGGGTTCCACTGAGTCCACAGAGTCATCTGGGGGGGGGGGTGTCATTTCCCAGGCAGAATGGAAGCCTCCCCACCTGCAGACCCACCCCGGTCTTAGGCTCCTCTGTGGTATGGTCCTGCCTCCAAAGGAGCGGGCTTTGTGGCGGGGGAGGGCATTCCCTAACCTGAGACACGACTGCCTTTCCCTGTTCTAAATATTACCCTGAGGGGGGCGCCTGGAAGCTCAGTTAGGTAAGCTTCTAACCCTTGATTTTGGCTCAGAGTCGTGAGATCAAGCCCTGCATCAGGCTCTGTACTGAGTGTGGAGCTTGCTTGGGATTCTCTCTCTCTCTCTCTCTCTCTCTCTCTCTCTCTCCCCCTCCCCCCCGTCTTCTCCCCCATTCACGCTCTCTCTCTCTCTCAATAAATAAATAAATAATAACTGGACAGACAAAGCAATTTGGCACTCGAGTTCCTTCCCTGTGTTCTCTTCAATAATGGCATTCAGTCATGAAAAAAAATACTAGAAACAGTTATTTCCAGCACTTAGAGCATTTGCCATATGAGCAATACAGTCACAGACTGAAGCATATATTTATTCATGCATATAAATATATAACTGTATCTTTTAGAGTTGCCAAATGGCTCTAAAACACTAAAGAAATCCCTTGGCCAGAAGCAAGCCTGAGAGAGTCCACCCCACCCTGGGGCTGCTGGATACCTGGGACCCGGCCAGCTTCCCTTCTGAAGACAGGGAGGCAGGAAAGGTCCCTGTCCTTGGGCCCCTGGGGGCTGCCCAGAACATTCCCCCGGGCCATGAGGGCAGAGCCGCGTGGGCACAGAGATGGTCTGCTCCATCTGCACCAACGCCCAGCAGGGCGACCGGTGCACAGATGGCATGCAGACACCCAGCCTCATCCTGGGTGAGCAAGAACGCAGGCCCAGAGCAGGCTGGCGGTGGCTCTCACCGCCGCGTGCTCCACTCCGGGTCAACCCTGTACTTTAGGGGCTCCCGCAGATCTCCAGGAGAAGCAGCCCAGAGATTTCTGCTTCCCACGTTAGCAGGGACAAATGACCTCAGCAGCCGCCTGCAGTTGGCCGGATGCTGATTTCAACGTGAAGCCATGGTACTCTGCAAGCGATCGCTCACTAGTCCGATATGAAATGAAAGAATGGAGTGAGAGCTTTAAAAAAAAAAAATGCATGGGTTTCAGATGAAGACATCCAATATGCAAGGGGGACAGTTCCATTCCTGACAAGCAGGCAGATGCTGAGTAATCATGTTTTCACAGCCAAGCAGTTTCACTTACGCTAATTGGGACTAAACAGAAAAGTAACCTCTGCTCGGGGGGAGCCCCATGCCCCGCCTCCCCGGCCCCGGGCCCAACACAGAGCTAAGTAAGCGGCAGCCTCGGAGAAGAAATAAAAAGAGCTTGAAAGCAAAAACAAAAGGCAGGGAAACAAAAGCACATTTAGTGTAAGAGACAGATTCCATTAAATTTACTTACAACAGAGAACACACAGACATCACATCTTCAACCATCCTAAGACGAGAAGACAAGAAAAAAGAGAGACAGACAGAAGGAACTGACAAAAAAGATACATCTGCAGACAACTGGTTACTAACGGGCTGGGACACAGAGCCATCTACTGAGGGGACTGCCGGGTAGGGCGGGCCACACCCCGGCTTTGTGGAGAGGGGCTGTCTGAGAACACCTTCCTCTCGGGCTTCCAAATCACCCCGGAAACTGCCGGTGCCCAAAGAGCTTTGTCACATCGTGGTGGATTCCAAGCCATCTGCGCTACAGGTGAGAACAAGAGGTGGGTTGGCCTCCCTGGCCTGTTAGCCCTGATGACAGGCCAGACTAACCAAGTCATCTGTGGGGAAGGGGGAGGTGCCTGGTGGCTTCAGGTCAGCTCTCATCCCCAAAATGAGGGGACGTGGTCTCGTTGCTGAGCATTTCAGCATCCTGTCTGAGGCTTAAAATAAAGCATCCAACACAGATTTGACGGTCTCTCGGAAGGGCCTGGGTGGGAAGCTGAGCTCCAGGCTCCCGGGTGGGGAGCCTTGGATTCCCAAGACTCATACCAGCTTAGAGAACTTCTCAGGGAGCCCCAGGTTCTTCTCAAAATAACTCCTCGGGGAGCCCAGAATGGGAGGCACTCTGCCTGGTGTCTCCATTCACACCAGGCAGAGTCAGAGCGCCCAGCAGCTGTGGTCTGCTCTGCTGAGTTGGTGCCGGAAGCCTGGTGTCTCTGGCCATGTTCAATTACCGAGCGTACTTCGCATGAGGGCAGGAGAAAAGCTCTAAGTACCATTCCCCCTACGCCGGTACCCGGGTCCTGGAAAGAGACCCGCAGCCATCCAGGTGACAGCTGCGTCTGGGGATGAATTCCAGAGGCTCGGACACATGGTATTTAAAGGCAGTCTACTTAGCAAGTGTTTGAGGACGGCTGAGCCAATTACTGATGGCCTCCTGGGGATCACGGGGATTTCGGGGATTGTTTCTCCCTTTTGAGGTCCACTGATCTCTTTCTGGACCTACAGGGCCTTGGACTCTTGTCTGCAAAAGAGGGCTAGAAAAAGGGATGAAGACAAGTGCTCTGACAGGCCAGCTGGGGTGCAGGGAAGGGCCCAGGCCAGGCCTCTCGTGCACAGGCCTCGCAGAGACTCCTGGGTCGGCTTCCTGGCAAACACATTAATGGGCGGACACAGACACTATCAATTCCAACAACATTTGAAGGGTATATCTCCTAGCTCCTAGGCCACCCGAGTAAGTAATCCCCGCACCAAATAGGGGAAAGGCGGAGTCACCCAGGGGAGGCTGAGCAGGTCCCCAGCAGACAGTTCCCTCTCTGCGAGACCTCCCACACTCTCCTGGAGTCAAATGTCAGGCTCTCAGCTCAATGGAAAGCCTTACACCACTGACATAATGAGGCAAACTATCAAAGACGCTACCCCCAGCGGGATCTGGGCACGGGAAATGCCACCACGGTGGGCGCAGAGAGGAAGGGAAACAGGGATCGGCTTGCGAACCTGGGGGCGTTACGGCCGAGGGCGGCCGCGTTCATCCAGGCACACGCCCGGGGCTCACAGCCGGGGCACAGCCCCCCCCTCCGAGCTTACCACCCGCACCCCTGAACTTACGTCTTGAGGGGCGTCTTCTTCTTCTTGGCGGGCTTGTTGAGCCCGTCCCCGTCCACTCCGTTGGCTTCGATGGCACTGGCTGGGATCTCAAAGGAGGCCGGGGACTTAGAAGGCGAGGCTGGGGTTTTAGAAGACGTCTTAAAGGGGTCAACGGATTCGTCGCAGGCATCTGCGTCGAAGCTGTAGGGCTGCTGGGGCAGTTTGGGGGACTCTTGCATTTTTGAGGTGGAAGAAAAAGGGTTAAAATTGGGGTCGTCCCACTTGTCAATATCAAAGGTGTAGGTACCTTTCGCCATAGGGATGTCATTGGGCTCATCGGGGGACCGGGTAGGTGAGGCAGGAGCGTTGTCGAGTTTCTCGGGCGTTTTTTTCATCTTTGGCCTCCTTAGGGGCATTTTGGCAACCGGCTTTTTGCCGAGCTTTTTGGTGGGAGGGGGGTTTTCCTGCTGGGTGTCCCAACTACCCTTGTCCTCAGAATAGTCGAACTCCAGCCGCACCGAGAGCCCTTTGACCGGGGAGTCCTCCTGCCCCCCGCTATCCGACGGGGTCACCTCCACGGCCTCCGGGGCCGTGGCAAGAGGCAACGTTTTCCTTCCAACGGGGGGCGAGTTCTGCACTCTGCCGCTTCCGGAAGCGGGGGGCACGGCCCCTTCGGTGCCCTCTGGGTCCAGAGAGCAGGCGGCCTTGGGCACAGGCTTCGGGGGTGCTTCCTCTGACAGCACTGGTGTCGAAGGTTCTGTCCTGGCCGCTTCCGTCTTCGTCTCGATGGCTGTGTTCTCCGTGGGGACGGGACTCTCTTCGACCGGCTCTTGCTGTGTCTCTTTCACCGGGGGGGTTTCCGTGGGCTTCTTGGTGGCCTGCTTCTTTTTTAAGGAAGGCGGCCTCGGTTTTTTAGTTCGCTTAAGGGTACTGGAGGCACTGCTTGAGCCCGCGCTGTACGCATCTGGGGCCGGGGCCACGGCCTCGGCGTTGCCTGAGCAGGACGCACCGTCAAAGTCACTGGCTTGCAGGCTGAGGGATCGGGAGAGCGTGGACTTGGAGGCGGGGACACAATCCGTGGACTTCCTCCGCGTGCTCACTTTGCACTCCTGACTCTTAGAGTCCGAGCAGCGGGGCTCCAACGTCTGGAAGTCATCCACCAGCTCGATGGTGTCAAAGTCTAAGTTGTAAGTCCCGCTGCTGGCTATAGGCTTGTCTTCATCGAAGACGGCAGAGAAGGAGTGTGATGGGGGGCGGAAGGGGCTCCCCTCCACCGAGCTGCTGCGTGGGCCATCAGGGACACAGGCTGGCTCAGAACCGCATCCTGAGGAAAGGAGACAAAGTGTCACCAAAGGATGAAGGACCCAGGACACAGGACCGCTCTCCTCTCGTGCTAGACTACCACCTGGTCAGCGGAGTCCTGAGGTCCCCTGGGTCCCTACTGGGTGGGCACCAAGCCTGCTCTCACCTATCACCGGCTCCAGACCCCAGGCAGGCTTACCCTCCAGTCCCTCATCTGTCAAACAGGAGTGAAGTGGACTATTTGGGGAATAGCTCAAATCATTCGGTCATTCCAAAAACGTTTACCAACAGTGGGGGTTGGAGATTCCACAGTGAACAAAACAGACAAGATCCTTGCCCTCCTGGAAGGTACATTCTTCAGGGAGAAGACAGTTAAGAAACAAGTACACAAGTTGGTCAAGTGTCTGACTTTGGCTCAGGTCATGATTTCACAGTGCATGGGTTTGAGCCCCGTGTCGGGCTCTGTGCTGACAGCTCAGAGCTTGGAGCCTATTTTGGAGTTTGTCTCCTTCTCTCTCTGCCCCTCCCCCACTTACACACATACACACTCTCTCTCACAAAAATAAATAAATATTTAAAAAAAGAAACAAATGAACAAGCAACATGTACAGACTGCCAGATGGTGAGAAGTACCATGGAGAAAAATAAAGCCAGGGTAGGGGTGCTGGAATTTTAAAATAAAGGAGTTGGCAAAGCTCTCTAGGGAGGAAACACTTAAGCAAAGATGAGAAACATGGTAAAGACGTGAACCAGAAGCATATCTGGTGGGTGTATGAGGGGAGCATCACAGACAAAAGGAACAGCAAGTGCAAAGGTCCCGGGGTAGAAGCATACCTAGCGTGTTAAAGAAGCCTTAGAGGCCAGTGTGACTAAAGCAAGGGACAGGAAGACAGTCATTAGCATCATCAGGTCTACTTTTAACTACTCAGAGCCAGTTGAAGAGCAACAGGGAGCTTTTCCGTGGAGGCCCCCAAGGCCACTGCAGCAGGACTGAGGATGCCCTGCTTGCCACCTGTCCTTACACCAGGCGTCCCCGGGCATACTCCACGTGTTGGCCACGAGACACTCCATCACCTCATGACCCCACCGTTCCATGGGGATCTGGCCAGCCTGGCCTCTGCCCGTGCCAGGTGGTGCCTTTTGTGCATTTCCGGGCTCACAGCTGTCCTGGGCAGTCAGGAGGCCGGAACGCGGCAGGCGAGAAAACTAACCATACATCACCAGGCAAAGGAGGGAAAATGTTGCAAAGAGGTCTGCAGAAGAAGAGATCGGGGAGTCGGTGCTGCTATGGCCTGGGGTGGCGTCCTCAAAGTCGTGTCTCACTGATGGGAGCCCTGCCTCCCCGCCCCCCCCCCCCGCCGGGACAGCTGTCACATAAACTCCAGGGTGTCACTTAAACCCAAGCTTCCAATAGCTGAATGAGGTTTTTACTATAAACATGTCTCAGTAATTCCTTGTGTGTCTGGGACACAGGCTTAACCGGGTGCCCTGTAGTTTTATTTGCTGAATCTGGCAGCCCCTCTGCCTCATCCCAGCAAACGAACAAGGTCTGGGAAACGCTCTGCTAAAACTGAGCTGGACTCCTGCTGCACATTTCCTCAGAGCAACTCACAGTCACTATTGCAAGTGCCCAGGGCGTGAGTGTTTTGTACGGTGCTTCTGGAACATTGCTCACAAGCAGACCTTTCTCTTGGAGCACCTGGGAGAGGAAGCGCTGCCCCTCATTGGGGGGTGGGGGGGGTGGGATGACATCACAAGGGAAGTCCGAGCCTCCGGAGTTCAGGGACTGGTCTGGTCATCTTTGCTCTCCCTGCACTTGTCCCACTTTCTCTTGCAGGCTCAAAGAAACACCCAGGGGCGCCTGGGTGGCTCAGTTGGTTAGGCGTCTGACTTGGGCTCAGGACACAATCTCACGGTTCGTGGGTTCCAGCCCTGCATTGGGCTCTGTGCTTAAAGCTCAGAGCCTGGAGCCTGCTTCGGATTCTGTGTCTCCCTCTCTCTCTGCCCCTCCCCAGCTCATGCTCTGTCTGTCTCTTTCTCAAAAATAAACATTAAAAAAAATATCTCTAGAACTGAAAGCACCTTCTGGAAGCACACCTATTCGTGGTTCAAAGCTTTTTCATCTCTTCAGTGCCCAGGGCCACCCAGGCCCTACTTGGAGCAGACGTCCTGGAAGACGGAGCACTTCCTTGAAACCTCACAGCTCTTTCCACCAAAAGATTCCTCCCTCGCCTCAAAACACTCCTGCTTCCTTCCCATCTCCAAAGAAGAAGATTCCTCCCTGCTTCTTTTTTTTTTTTAATGTTTACTTATTTTGAGAAGAGGGAGAGGGCAGTGAAGGAGGGAGAGGGCAGAGATCCCAAGCAGGCTCTGTGCTCTCAGCTTGGAGCCTGACGTGGGGGCTCGAACTGTGAGATTGTGACCTGAGCCGAAATCAAGAGTCAGGCACTGAACCAACTGAGCTACATAGCGCCCCCTGTTCTGTATTGTTCTGTCCTTTCCTTCTTTCTTTTCTTTTCTTCTTCCTTCCTTCCTTTCTTCCTTCCTTTCTTTCCCTGTTCTTTTCTTTTTTTTTTTAAATTTTTTTTAATGTTTTTATTTATTTATAGAAGAGAGAGAGAAAGACAGCGTGAGCAGGGGAGGGTCAGAGAGAGAGGGAGTCACAGACTGAAACAGGCTCCAGGCTCTGAGCTGGCAGTCAGCACAGAGCCCGACGCGGGGCTCGAACCCACGAACCGCGAGATCATGACCTAAGTGAAAGTCGGACGCTTAACCGACTAAGCCACCCAGGGGCCCCTTCCCTGTTCTTTTCTTAAACCAACTCCCTCCTATTTCCTCCAGGGCTGGCACCCTCAAGCACCCCACCCCCTGCCCGGACACGCAGCACACAGGGCACACAAGGCCCAGGGCACCCATCGGAACAGGTGCTTTCCAGTGGGCCTTGCAGGAGGGAGGTAGAGCCTCAGCCCATCCCATCGTTGCCAAAGCACAACCCACAACCGCCAGCCTCTGCTTTCTTCAGGCTGCCTTGCGCCTTCTGAGGTCCTCCCGATGTCAGGAGTCCCCCGGAATCAAGGAACATGCAGCAGGTATTCAGCTTAACCATCTGCTCACTGTCTGACCCAGAAGAAAAGCTCCCTGCCTGCTCAGCACGAATCTTTCCTCTTTAGAACCGAGATCCCCTAATTGAATCATCACAGACCGGAGAAAGCTAATCTTGCTGGGGGTTTCTCGGCCTTGGCCCTGGGGCTTATGGGAAGGGGCCATCCTGTTCGCTGCAGGGTGTGTAGCGGCGTCTTTGGCCTCTACCCACTAGATGCCACTGGCACGCCAACCCCAGTTGTGACAACCAAAAATGTTTCTCAAAATTGCCAAACAGCCCTGTGAGGGGCACAAGAGTCCCTGGGTGAGAACTGCTGGCCCACTGCGTGGTGTTCAAACAGGTCGCTCCACAGGGCCCATTACAGGGCTGGGGGGTGGGGGGGTGGTGGGCTGCCAAGTGCTCTTCAGAGGAATCCTGGACCCGAGAAAAGGTCACTGCCACGTGCAGGCCCTGATTTTCCAATGCAGTGTGGTCCAATCGGGTTCCCAGAGGCTCCCACCTGATTCCTAAATTCCACTCGCCTTATCTGCATGGAGACCACTCATTCATTCATTAACGCCATGAATGATCTGGGTGCCTCCTACACGTCAGCACTGCAGGAGTGCAGTGGACACAGAGGCAAGGAAAGACAAGACCTCGGTGGATCCATCCACAGGAACGGGCCTCCACCCTGTGCGCCCCACCAGTGTAGACCCGGGCAACGCCTGCCCAGGCTCCAGGGTTGGGATCAGTCAGATAACAACGAAAAAGGAGTTCGTCGTATGGTTCATCAATCTAGTTCATCGTATGGAGGCTTGCTGGGAGGTCCCAGGGGCGTCACTCAGCTCGGGCCACCATACCAAAGTACCACAGTACCTCTCGATGGCAGAGGTGCGTCTTCTGTGTCCTCACACGGCCGTTTACCTGCATGTGCTCACTCCCAGGGCCCCCGCCTCTTCCTCTTACATGGACACAGGTTCCAGTGGATTAGGGTCCCACCCTTATGACCTTGTTGACTTTCATCACCTCCTTAAAAGTCATATCACAGTGGGGGTTAGGGTTTCAACATATGGATTTGGGGCAATACATGTCATCCCTTAACACAGGTGCAGGGCAGTCAAATCCCCAAGCAAAGGTAACAACAAATGTGTCTGGAAACAGAGGAATTTCTAAGGAAAGAGAGAAAGCCAGTAAGAGACAGCTGACGTCACATGACTGATGTCACCCTGCCATCTTCAGGGGCCACATTTCCCAGCCTTGCGAGGACTGTTTCTTTCTTTTTTTAATGCTTAGTTTTGAAGGAGAGAGAGAGAGAGTGTGAGCAGGGGAGGGAGACACAGAATCTGAAGCAGGATCCAGGCTCAGGCTCTAAACTGTCAGCACAGAGCCCGACACGGGGCTCGAACCCACAGGCTAAGAGACCATGAGCTGAGCCAAAGTCGGACGCTTAACTGACTGAGCCACCCAGGCGCCCCGGATGGCGGGACTGTTCCTAATGGGGTGCTTACCGCTAGCTGTGCTGGTCCCTCTCTCTTCCGCCTCCCGCTGCCCACCCCCCAACTCTGGACTGGGATCCGTGGGCCCAGAGGACCAAATGTGTCCACACATGGCACCCCGGTGCTCACATGCTCTCACAGGAAATCAACAGATCAAAGTAAATGGTCTCACACACAGGGGGCATCGACTTACATCTTCTAGGTGTATAAATAATAATCTATTGCAATTAATAATGTTTATTCTGGAAAAGGTCTCTATTTTAAGTAGGCTAACGAGATCTAAATGGAGCATTATCGGTCTTCACGTGGTAGCTGTGGGCCACTCCAATCAACTCCAGGATGAATTCGGCACTTCCCAAACCTGCCTACCCCTTTAAGACCCACCCAAGACACCTGTTAAAACCCCAGCCTCCTGGCTCCAACCTGAAGAAAGTTTGGCACAGC